TCTTGAAAAATTCATGGTCTCCGATTAAGCTGAAATTCGGAAAGTGGATAGTATGTCCTTTAAAACGTTAAGAAAAGAAGTCCGTTTCGCATTAACCTAATTCGTTAAAAAGTAGAGGCTTGTTTCTCGATAATTAGCGAACATAGAAAACTGCAGTTGAGTTTCTTCAGACGTACTGGTCTTCTAATATCCGTATACAACGTTTCGTCCAAATCAGAGCAACTTTTTCCAACTTCTTAATAAGGACAGATATTGAGTAACAGACACCCCTCCGACATTAAGTTTTACATTCTGATTCTCTGTGCAAAATTTCAGCAAAATCGAAGACAAAAAAATTTTCATCGAAAAATATTCGTTTTTTCTTGAAAAATTCATGGTCTCCGATTAAGCTGAAATTCGGAAAGTGGATAGTATGTCCTTTAAAACGTTAAGAAAAGAAGTCCGTTTCGCATTAACCTAATTCGTTAAAAAGTAGAGGCTTGTTTCTCGATAATTAGCGAACATAGAAAACTGCAGTTGAGTTTCTTCAGACGTACTGGTCTTCTAATATCCGTATACAACGTTTCGTCCAAATCAGAGCAACTTTTTCCAACTTCTTAATAAGGACAGATATTGAGTAACAGACACCCCTCCGACATTAAGTTTTACATTCTGATTCTCTGTGCAAAATTTCAGCAAAATCGAAGACAAAAAAATTTTCATCGAAAAATATTTGAAGGCTATACCCTTTCGTTTTTTCTTGAAAAATTCATGGTCTCCGATTAAGCTGAAATTCGGAAAGTGGATAGTATGTCCTTTAAAACGTTAAGAAAAGAAGTTCGTTTCGCATTAACCTAATTCGTTAAAAAGTAGAGGCTTGTTTCTCGATAATTAGCGAACATAGAAAACTGCAGTTGAGTTTCTTCAGACGTACTGGTCTTCTAATATCCGTATACAACGTTTCGTCCAAATCAGAGCAACTTTTTCCAACTTCTTAATAAGGACAGATATTGAGTAACAGACACCCCTCCGACATTAAGTTTTACATTCTGATTCTCTGTGCAAAATTTCAGCAAAATCGAAGACAAAAAAATTTTCATCGAAAAATATTTGAAGGCTATACCCTTTCGTTTTTTCTTGAAAAATTCATGGTCTCCGATTAAGCTGAAATTCGGAAAGTGGATAGTATGTCCTTTAAAACGTTAAGAAAAGAAGTCCGTTTCGCATTAACCTAATTCGTTAAAAAGTAGAGGCTTGTTTTTCGATAATTAGCGAACATAGAAAACTGCAGTTGAGTTTCTTTAGACGTACTGGTCTTCTAATATCCGTATACAACGTTTCGTCCAAATCAGAGCAACTTTTTCCAACTTTTAAATACGGACAGATATTGAGTAACAGACACCACTCCGACATTAAGTTTTACATTCTGATTCTCTGTGCAAAATTTTAGCAAAATCGAAGACGAAAAAATTTTCATCGAAAAATATTTGAAGGCAATACCCTTTCGTTTTTTCTTGAAAAATTCATGGTCTCCGATTAAGCTGAAATTCGGAAAGTGGATAGTATGTCCTTTAAAACGTTAAGAAAAGAAGTCCGTTTCGCATTAACCTAATTCGTTAAAAAGTAGAGGCTTGTTTCTCGATAATTAGCGAACATAGAAAACTGCAGTTGAGTTTCTTCAGACGTACTGGTCTTCTAATATCCGTATACAACGTTTCGTCCAAATCAGAGCAACTTTTTCCAACTTCTTAATAAGGACAGATATTGAGTAACAGACACCACTCCGACATTAAGTTTTACATTCTGATTCTCTGTGCAAAATTTCAGCAAAATCGAAGACAAAAAAATTTTCATCGAAAAATATTTGAAGGCTATATATACCCTTTCGTTTTTTCTTGAAAAATTCATGGTCTCCGATTAAGCTGAAATTCGGAAAGTGGATAGTATGTCCTTTAAAACGTTAAGAAAAGAAGTTCGTTTCGCATTAACCTAATTCGTTAAAAAGTAGAGGCTTGTTTCTCGATAATTAGCGAACATAGAAAACTGCAGTTGAGTTTCTTCAGACGTACTGGTCTTCTAATATCCGTATACAACGTTTCGTCCAAATCAGAGCAACTTTTTCCAACTTCTTAATAAGGACAGATATTGAGTAACAGACACCCCTCCGACATTAAGTTTTACATTCTGATTCTCTGTGCAAAATTTCAGCAAAATCGAAGACAAAAAAATTTTCATCGAAAAATATTTGAAGGCTATACCCTTTCGTTTTTTCTTGAAAAATTCATGGTCTCCGATTAAGCTGAAATTCGGAAAGTGGATAGTATGTCCTTTAAAACGTTAAGAAAAGAAGTCCGTTTCGCATTAACCTAATTCGTTAAAAAGTAGAGGCTTGTTTTTCGATAATTAGCGAACATAGAAAACTGCAGTTGAGTTTCTTTAGACGTACTGGTCTTCTAATATCCGTATACAACGTTTCGTCCAAATCAGAGCAACTTTTTCCAACTTTTAAATACGGACAGATATTGAGTAACAGACACCACTCCGACATTAAGTTTTACATTCTGATTCTCTGTGCAAAATTTTAGCAAAATCGAAGACGAAAAAATTTTCATCGAAAAATATTTGAAGGCAATACCCTTTCGTTTTTTCTTGAAAAATTCATGGTCTCCGATTAAGCTGAAATTCGGAAAGTGGATAGTATGTCCTTTAAAACGTTAAGAAAAGAAGTCCGTTTCGCATTAACCTAATTCGTTAAAAAGTAGAGGCTTGTTTCTCGATAATTAGCGAACATAGAAAACTGCAGTTGAGTTTCTTCAGACGTACTGGTCTTCTAATATCCGTATACAACGTTTCGTCCAAATCAGAGCAACTTTTTCCAACTTTTAAATACGGACAGATATTGAGTAACAGACACCACTCCGACATTAAGTTTTACATTCTGATTCTCTGTGCAAAATTTTAGCAAAATCGAAGACGAAAAAATTTTCATCGAAAAATATTTGAAGGCAATACCCTTTCGTTTTTTCTTGAAAAATTCATGGTCTCCGATTAAGCTGAAATTCGGAAAGTGGATAGTATGTCCTTTAAAACGTTAAGAAAAGAAGTCCGTTTCGCACTAACCTAATTCGTTAAAAAGTAGAGGCTTGTTTCTCGATAATTAGCGAACATAGAAAACTGCAGTTGAGTTTCTTCAGACGTACTGTTTTTCTAATATCCGTATACAACGTTTTGTCCAAATCAGAGCAACTTTTTCCAACTTTTAAATACGGACAGATATTGAGTAACAGACACCACTCCGACATTAAGTTTTACATTCTGATTCTCTGTGCAAAATTTCAGCAAAATCGAAGACGAAAAAATTTTCATCGAAAAATATTTGAAGGCTATACCCTTTCGTTTTTTTTTTTGAAAAATTCATGATCTCCGATTAAGCTGAATTTCGGAAAGTGGATAATATGTCCTTTAAAACGTTAAGAAAAGAAGTCCGTTTCGCACTAACCTAATTCGTTAAAAAGTAGAGGCTTGTTTCTCGATAATTAGCGAACATAGAAAACTGCAGTTGAGTTTCTTCAGACGTACTGGTCTTCTAATATCCGTATACAACGTTTCGTCCAAATCAGAGCAACTTTTTCCAACTTCTAAATAAGGACAGATATTGAGTAACCGACACCACTCCGACATTAAGTTTTACATTCTGATTCTCTGTGCAAAATTTCAGCAAAATCGAAGACGAAAAAATTTTCATAGAAAAATATTTGAAGGCTATACCCTTTCGTTTTTTCTTGAAAAATTCATGGTCTCCGATTAAGCTGAAATTCGGAAAGTGGATAGTATGTCCTTTAAAACGTTAAGAAAAGAAGTCCGTTTCGCACTAACCTAATTCGTTAAAAAGTAGAGGCTTGTTTCTCGATAATTAGCGAACATAGAAAACTGCAGTTGAGTTTCTTCAGACGTACTGGTCTTCTAATATCCGTATACAACGTTTCGTCCAAATCAGAGCAACTTTTTCCAACTTCTAAATAAGGACAGATATTGAGTAACAGACACCACTCCGACATTAAGTTTTACATTCTGATTCTCTGTGCAAAATTTCAGCAAAATCGAAGACGAAAAAATTTTCATCGAAAAATATTTGAAGGCTATACCCTTTCGTTTTTTTTTTTTTTTTGAAAAATTCATGATCTCCGATTAAGCTGAATTTCGGAAAGTGGATAGTATGTCCTTTAAAACGTTAAGAAAAGAAGTCCGTTTCGCACTAACCTAATTTGTTAAAAAGTAGAGGCTTGTTTCTCGATAATTAGCGAACATAGAAAACTGCAGTTGAGTTTATTCAGACGTACTGGTCTTCTAATATCCGCATACAACGTTTCGTCCAAATCAGAGCAACTTTTTCCAACTTTTAAACGAGGACGGATACTGAGTAGCAGACACCTCTCAGATACTAAGTTTTACATAAAATTTTGGTATCAGGATAACAGAAGAATAAGGAGATATTTTAAAAATGTATAATTCAGGGCAAGGCAAAAATAATTTCCATACGTCCTCGCTCTTTTATTGTTCTGATACTAAAGTTGAAATTTCGTTTATAAAATTTTGTTACCAGAATAACAGAAGTGTGAAGAGGTATTTTAAAAACGGCGGGAAAATTAAGTTCTTTAATAAAGTTCCTATATAATTCAGGGTAACGCAAAATCAACTTCCATACCTCCTCACACTCTCCTGTTATCCAGATACAAAGATCCGAGTACCAAAAGTTGCAATTTCGGAGAAAAAAAAAACAGACCTTTTACTTTTTAAACACCACTCTGACATTAAGTTTGAGTTGGAATTTACAAACTAAACATTTTCCTCTTACCGTTAAACTTCATGTGGTTTGACCCACCAATAGTGTGTAGGGTAGCCGTTGCGTAGTAATATCTAACGATATAGTAGAAAACCATTCTTAAAAACTGAGAAAAAATTTTACCTAATAGGCATGTTCTCATTAATGTAAAGGGCAAAAAAAATAGTTTTAATAAATAGCTTTTTATTTTTGATTAAAATCACAGAAGTGATTATTTTAGGGTAAATAAGGACGAAAATGCATTTTCCAATATGGAATAATATGCAAAATTTTTAGACAAATTTAACATAAACTTAAATAACATATATACTGTCACAGAGTAAAAAATATTAATGAATATAAAACATCAGTATGATTAATGTAATGCATAACACAGCTCAAGTTATAAAAAAAATAAGCAAAACTTATCATTAATTCAAAGCGTCCCAAGAAATAGATTTGAAGAAAGGGTGGGATTTAAGGTTCTCGGTGCCATTAACACCAGTGCCCAATCTCTCTTGAGGGTCATAGGTAAGTAACTAAAAAAAAAAATATTAAAATTATATATAATACGAGTATTTAAACTTTAGAGACAATAAATGTACACGTAACATAAATTTTTATTTATATAAATTCTTTGAAATTACCCAAATTATTTACAAATTTACCCCGAGGAAATAATGAAAAGTATATGAAAATAAATTTAATGAAAAAATTAAAAAATGCTGTAAACGTAGGGATTCGAACCCACCAATTCGTTCTTTGCACCCTGCTTCATCCAGTTTAGTGTTTAGTGTGATGCTTCAATGATGTTTTAATGTTTTGGTGCTTTTTTCAATGATGTTCTAATGATGTTTATGTGTTTATATCATGTTTGAATAATATTTTAATATTGTTTTAATAATGTTTTAATGATTTTTAAATGAAGTTTTAATTATGTGTTAATGTTTAATATTTGTTTAATGTTTGTTGTTTTAATGATGTTTATGTGTTTGTTATGTTTAAATGATGTTTTAATAATATGTTAATCTTTTGTTTAAATAGTTTTAATGATGTTTCAATGATGTTTTAATGATGTGTTAATAATATTATGTATTAATTATGTGTGATATTTGAATGTTTAATGCATGTTTAATGTTTGTTTCATGTTATAATGATGTTTTAATGTTTTAATTATGTGTTAAAGATGTTTTATTGATATTTTAATGTTTTAATGAAGTTTGAATATTTGAATGTTTAATATTTAATGTATGTTTAATGTTTGTTGTTTTAATGCTGTTTTGATGATTTTGTCACTGATGTTTAGTAATGTTTTATTGATGTTTATATGTTTATATCATGTTTTAATAATGTTTTAATCTTTTATTGTCTTATTAATGTATTAATACTGTTTTAATGATGTTTTAATTATGTTTCAATAGATGTGTGATATTTGAATGTTTAATGCATGTTTATTTATTTATTTATTTATTTATTTATTTATTCACGGGTAACCCCATTAAAAAAAATACAATATTAATTAGAATAAAAACAGCAAAATAAATACTTAACAAAATACTAAACTAATACTAATATAGGTAATATAAAATACTATACAAAATATAAAATATAACGGCATCAAATAACAATTATAAAATCAGTTAGAAAATGAAGACAAAAAAAATGTTAGACTTCCATATTATTTTAATGTAATTAGTTTAATGTATGTTTAATGTTTGTTTATATCATGTTACAATGATGTTTTAATGTTTCATTCTTTTAATAATGTTTTAATATTGTTTTAATGAAGTTTAAATATTTGAATGTTTAATGTTTGTTGTTTTAATGCTGCTTTGACGATTTTGTCACTGATGTTTAGTGATGTTTTAATGATGTTTATATGTTTATATCATGTTTTAATAATAATCTTTTATTGTTTTATTAATGTATTAATACTGTTTTAATGATGTTTTAATTATGTTTCAATGAAGTTTTATTTATGTGTTAATGATATTATGTTTTAATGGTGTTTAAATAAAGTTTTAATTATGTGTGATATTTTAATGTTTAATGTATGTTTAATGTTTGTTTATATCATGTTATAATGATATTTTAATGTTTTATTCTTTTAATAATTTAATATTATTTTAATCATTATCAATAATGTTTTAATGATGTGTTAATGTTTTAATATTGTTTTAATGTTTTAATTATGTGTTAAAGATGTTTTATTGATATTTTAATGTTTTAATGAAGTTTGAATATTTGAATGTTTGTTCTTTTAATGCTGTTTTGATGATTTTGTCACTGATGTTTAGTGATGTTTTAATGAAGTTTATATCATGTTTTAATAATGTTTTAATCTTTTATTGTTTTATTAATGTATTAATACTGTTTTAATGACGTTTAAATTAAGTTTTAATTATGTGTTAATGATATTATGTTTTAATGATGTTTCAATAAAGTTTTAATTATGTGTGATATTTGAATGTTTAAGGTTTAATGTATGTTTAATGTTTGTTTATATCATGTTATAATGATGTTTTAATGTTTTATTCTTTTAATAATGTTTTAATATTGTTTTAATGATTATCAATGATGTTTAAATGATATGTTAATAATGTTTTAATATTGTTTTAATGTTTTAATTATGTGTTAAAGATGTTTTATTGATATTTTAATGTTTTAATGAAGTTTGAATATTTGAATATTTAATGTTTATAGTATGTTTAATGTTTGTTGTTTTAATGCTGTCACTGATGTTTATATCATGTTTTAATGATGTTTTAATAATGTTTTAATCTTTTATTGTTTTATTAATGTATTAATACTGTTTTAATTATGTTTCAATAAAGTTTTAATGATTTTTTAATGTTTTTAAAGATGTTTTAATGCTATTTTGACGCTTTTTTCAATGATATTTATATCATGTTTTATTGTTTTAATAATGTTTTGATGCTTTTTTCAATTATGTTTAATGATGTTTTAATGTTTATATGTGTATATCATGTTTTAATCTTTTAATAATGTTTTAATATTGTTTAAATGACGTTGCAATAATGTGTTAAAAATGTGTAAATATTGTTTAAATGTTTTAATAATGTTATAATGTTTTAATGATGTTTCAATGAAGTTTTAATTATGTGTTCATGACGTTTTATTGATATTTTGATGTTTTAATGAAGTTTGAATATTTGTATGTTTAATATTTGTTTAATGTTTGTTGTGTGAATGATGTGTTAATGCCGTTTTGATGCTTTTTTCAATGATGATTAATGATGTTTAATTCATGTTTTAATAATGCGTTAATAATGTTTTAATATTCTTCTAATAATGTTTTAATGATGTTTCAACGAAGTTTTAATTATGTGTTATTGATATTTTAATGATGTTGTTTTGAAGCATTTTCAATGATGTTTATGTTTATATCATGTTTTAATCTTTTAACGTTTAAATATTGTTTCAATGATGTTTTCATGAAATGTTAATGATATTTTATTGATATTTTATTATTTGAATGAAGTTTGAATATTTGAATGTTTAGTGTTTAATATTTGTTGTTTATAATGTTGAATGTTGTTTATTGTTGTTTAGTGTTGTTTAGTGTTGTTTATTATTTTTTAGTATTGTTTAGTTTTATTTAATGTTGTTTAGTTTTATTTAATGTTGTTTATTATTGTTTAATGTTGTTTAACATTGTTTAATGTGGTTTAATGTTTTTTAATGTTGTTTAATGCTGTTTAATATTGTTTAATATTGATTAATGTTCTTTAATGATATTTATTGTTTAGTGTAGGGTTTGTTTAGTGTTATTGTTTCGTGTTTTGCTTTGTATAGTATATATTTAGCTTTAATACTGAATGCGAGTCAAATGATGCGAAAACCTTTTAACAACATACCTGTTTGAGTAATGATCTTCCTTGAGGTGAGACGTACTTTGGAATTTTCAGACAGTTACACATATTTATACCATTCATGTGAATTTCAGAGAGCGGCTAGAAAACAAATATATGTCAATTAACGAACCTCAAGATTTCCATTTGATAGTATTAACTAAATAGGTACTAAAAAACTTAAGGATTTAAAAAAGTCATAGCTTGTTCATTTTATATTTTGTTTATTTGTTCTATTTTTCAAGTTATACAGGGTGAATCCCAAGTTGATACTTTTTTGTAACTGTGTATAGAAGTCGTTAAAATAAAAAAAATTTTAAGTAACTGTTTTCAAAGAACACAAAAATAATAAAGATAAGTATATAAAAAATGTAAATCTGGGCCTGGGCTCGTGTATGAAAATTTAAGCTACATAAGAAGTCTTTTTTTCCAAAAGTTTGTTTTTTCTTATGAATTAAGCTTCATTTTGTACCGGTTATTGTAATCCAGCCGCGTGGGATTTCAATAACGTGTTTATCTGAAGTAGTGAATTTAAATTGTTTAATATAGAGTGTCTTTAAAATGCAGCTACTGCATCTGTATTGTACAGTAAACATTTTCCCTTGCATGCATCCCAGTCCCAGAACAAGAAAAATATATTTACCATTCCAACCAATAATTCATAAAGAATAGCTCCAAAACTGTACCAGTCTGCAGCATTCCTTACTTGATGGAAACTATATACCTCTGGTGCTAAATTGTGATTAATACTAGATGAAAATAAATCTCCCAATTCTTTGTTATTGCACTTGTACGTTAATAGAATATCTTCCTTATCATCTATTAACACATTTTTAAATTGGAGATCCCTAGAAGAAACAAAATTATTAGGTTTATATTTTTTGACAATATATTTTAATAAATATTTAGATATTGATTTAATAAACAGTGTCACTGAAAGGTGAGAAAATTGGTTTAGATACGAAAACTGAAAAATGCAATTTTTAGAAATGTGAAAACATAATACCCTACTAAATTAAGAAATGTATCGCCTTATTTCCAAAAGTGATAGCAAACCAAAGAAAAAGCTAAATAATAAAAAATGAATGCATCTTCCAAGGATTGAACCTAAAACCTCCGACTCGAACCGTCGGCGCCTCTACCAAATGGACCCACGATACACATAACTACGACAGTCAAATTTGTAGATTGAAAGTCATCAGATTCCGATCCTAGCCGGCCCACATTCATTCCCTCTCCACCCCACGTCCTTTTGTCATTTTACGTTTACGGCGACCCAAACATGAGTAAAAGAATGCAAGATCTTAGAACAAGCTAGGCTTGGCGCTCTTCTGTACGATGCAATGGTTGCTTTAAGGAGAATTGAGAGAACTGGAGGGTGGGGAGTAAATTTGAATAAAACGTGTATCTAACAATAAAAGATTAATTATATGACTGTAAAGATACATAATTATTTTGAAATATAAATATGTATAATTATTCGAATATAATTTTACTGCATATTCATGAGACTTAAAAGGGAATAATGAAATTCTTCGGAATGAAAATGGATTTACATTGTCAATTGTAACATAAATAAATTCATGAAATTTTGTGTAATATATGACGGTTTAACAAGTGTACCAATATAACAAAATAATTGTAAATAAGTAAGGTTATGTCCTAATCCAAAAAAGTGGTGGGTGTGACAAACTGAAATGGACCATACCGATCACTGGGAATGGACTGGATTTATCCGATAATGCTACAAAGGAGTCCTTAATATTTTATACAGAAGACTGTGCAACATAATTAGAAGTAGTCTGGCATTTGGATACATACCAAGAACATGCCAAAATATAAGGGTCACTTTTATACCAAAACCTGGGAAAATCGGACTGGGAACGGCAAAGTCCATAAGACCAATAAGTCTAATATCTTTCGTACTCAAGACTTTAGAAAAACTGCTAGAAGACATATTAGAGACGGCATATTGGTTCAAAGACCAATACGCCTATAGTAAAAATTAACACAAACAGCTGCCTCAAAATCACCAAGGTGAAAAATTTGCTTTACCAGCAAATAAATTGCTCAAATCATAATTTTATTGAGGAAAAAACATAATCTAACATTAAAATTGATTTGTTTTAACTGTACATTGTACAATACATTTTAGAAGTTAATTATGTTCTATATTATTTAAAAATATATAAGTCATTTCGAGAACGCATTCTAACTTGCAATCTTTAAAATCAAACTTTAAGAAATTAAATAAGTTTATCGATATTAAATAATTTCCATTACTTATGTAGAATATTTTTATTAAATAACTAGATTTTAAAAGTGCTATTCAAAAAAAGCTTTATTTTTAAATAGAAATGTACAAAAATATTTTGTCCGACGATGTACCCACCATTTCAGTGAACGCTGTTGTAATTGGCTGAAAATAGTTTTATGCGAACGCAGCTTCTAGGTGCTAGGGCGTAGTTGTGAAAGGCGACGGTAATGTACCCAGCTGTCAAAGCGTTTTTCACCAATTAGGCCTAATTAGGCATTCCAAACAAATGAATTACCAGTGGGCAGGTTTGGTATATCTAAGGGTGGCGACATATGGTGTATTCTATCTACTTTACGTAAAATCATGAATAATGGATTACATTTAAATATTTTATGTCAAACACAATAAAAATAATATTTAAAAAACCCACCTATACATTTCTTCATAAATTGGCAGGCTTGGCGAGTACTACTTCGAATAAAAATAGCGTCCAAGTTGCAAGACTATGTCGCTACCCCCTTAAATATATAAGAATTTCCCACTGGCACCTATTGTTTGACAGGTCGTTGGAATGCCTAATTAAGTTTAAAATAAGTGGTAAGTACCTTTCAATTTATTATTTACGAAGCGTACATCAATAATTCATCATCCCGGGAACGCACTTATAAGTTTATAGTATTCGAAAAATACGTTTTAAAGTATAATAATAACAAAATAACTTTAAATATTTTACTTTCATCATTCCAGACTGTACCTAAAATTATGCATTTATTTGATAATGAGTTACCCGCAATTTCTTCAGTGAGAAGACAAGTAGGAAGAAAACTAGTACGGAAAGATAGAGCCAAAGCATACCGAAAAATTAAAAAACAGGAAGAAACTATAGTTCAAATGAAACGTAAAATTGAGTCCTTAAAGAAAAAACTACGAAGAAGAGAAAAAAAAAAAGGAACGAGTACCTATAACTCTTAATAGTAAAGTTGATGCTATGCTTAAGGACATTAAGGTCCCTCCTGAAGTTGGCAATACCCTTTTTTTTGTATTGAGTACGCAATTAAAGGAGAAGGCTGATACTTTTCCAAAAAATTCAAAAGAGAGGGAAGTTTTTCAAAAATGCATCAGCTGAAGTGTTTTAAGAAAATACAAATTGCTCCATGGCTAAGAAGATTTTACCGAAGGAACGAAACTATAAATCGATTTTAAAATCTGATGTTAAACTTCGCCAGATTGTGTTGAAGCTAGACGTTTTTCAAAAGGTTAAAGATTTTTTCGAAAGAGATGACGTTAGTCGAATGTGCCCAGCTAATAGAGACCTTTTAAAAAAAAATGGCATTAAACATTCCGGTTATGAAAAAACATCTCTATGGCATTTACAGCTACAACAAACTGAAGAAAAGAACTGAAAAAAAAACTTGAGTGAAAAAAAGAGATTATGATAGAGATAGACTTCTCAGAGAATTACACTACCAAGTACGCAAATGAAATACAGCCTACACATTTTGCTAAAAATCAGTTATATATCAACACAGGCGTATATTACTCACGAAACGTTAACTTACAATCAAGATATTTTGCGACAATAAGTGAAAACTTGGATCACCAAGCCCATGCAGTATTAACCAGTATTAACTACAATCATTTCAGAAAACAAAGATATTGACACCCTCCATTTCTACTCTGACGGTCCAACATCGCAATACCGCAACCGCACTAATATAACCCTTTGGATACAAACAATGAATAATGAATTCAAACAAATATCAAAATCATCTTGGACTTTTAGTGAACCTGGTCATGGTAAAGGCCCTATGGAAGGCGTAGGAGGATATCTTAAAAGGACATTAAAACAGCTTCAGACTTTGCTAAATTATTTATAAACTCTGCTATCAAAATTAAACTGATCCATGAAAAAGATCTAAGTGAAGCAAAAAACAACGTCCCAAAAACTTTGGATGCTATTCATCACAAAAATTACTTGGTAGCGAGGGCCAGAAGTTTTAATACAAGTATATCGATATGAAAATATTTACAAGGAGTTAAAACTGTCCATGCTTTCTAGTCATTTTAATCCAAGCTCAGACGAACCTATAGGTTGTAAACCTGTATAATCTTCTATTTCTGAAGAGCTCATGGTTGCAGATGATTTAGAAATTGAAGGAGGGACATGGCAGTATTTATAAAAATATTTACAACTCATCTTCATCAGATGACGAAGATTTAATCACAATTTCTCAACAAGAAAAATCCAACGGTGTTGAAGCTAGTACATCTTATAATAAAGAAAATGTATATCCAAATTTGATCAGCCCTGGGACATTTTTACTGATTAAAGTACTCACTTAAAAGACAAATGTTCATTATAGATATGTTGCTACCTGTCAGACAAGTGTTGATAACGATGATGGGGAAATCCTAGTAACTTTCTTGAGATCAGTACGTAATAGTACCAGAAAATTTAAACTAAAATTAAATGATATGTCGAGCAAATAATTAGTACAATTCTTACACCATTACTGAAAAAAAGAACAGAATCGAGACTATTATTATTTCGAAACTGATATTGAAGTTCTCGAAAAATTCTAATACGTCTTATTATTTTATAAATTAGTTTTTATGTTAGTAGTACAAATCCTGTTTCAAGAAATAAAAAAATGTGATTTATAAAACTCGTTCATTATTTTAATGTACCCTTTAGAGGTGGGAAGTTCGAATCTTTTTACTGAATTAATTCATTTGATTCATTCACCTAAAAAGATTCGTTCTTCAAGATTCGTTCTCAAGTGATTCACTTTAGCGAACCACGAACGATGTTATTCCGCCGATCCGGCGAAGGAAATCGAACCGAACTTTTACGAATTTGAGTACTACCTAACCTACCTACCTACCTACTAGGTCGTTGAGTAAAATAATTATAACCAGATTTATTTTAAAGTAAAGCGAATTAATGTTTCATATTTCATAAAAAAAAGGCAGCTGAATAATAAATACATCCTTGTCCGTTAAGATAAACAACAATAACACAATTTTTTTTAAATGCCAAATATATAGCCAAAATTAACGCAAAATTATATATTCACGATTCGTCATTTTTTGTTTTAATTTTACTTTGATTTAAATTTATTTATCAGACAACACGCATAAATTGTTTACCTAAGCTTAATACACACCTCCTGTAAAGTGAGAAAAACATTAAAGACACATACCGCCACCGCCTGTCAGTTAGAGTTCTTGTATTATGCCGTAGAACGTAGAACAAAAGCGACCAATTTGCCGATGCCGATGTAAAATACCAAATACCGAATCCGAATCGAATGAACGAAGCAACCAAACTCGGAACTCGGCGTGTTTGATCGATCGCAGAGCCATCGAGCAATTGACTCAAAAAAGATTCGAATCTTTTAAAAACAGGGAATCAATTCATTCGAGTCAGTGCACTGATTCGTTCTTTTTGAACGAATCGTTCGCGAACGACACACCTCTAGTACCCTTACTGTAAGTTATCTATATCAATATCGTCAGTTGGCAAACAGTTGCATCATTCCGGGAACGCCTAATCATTTCCAGAAACGTTACTAAAATTACGTAAAACACAGAATAGTTTAGATATTTTCATTAAAAAAAAAATCGTAACTTTATTAAAAACCTTAATTCTGTAAATATAAATTTTTTTCATTATAAAAAAATATTGAAATTTTGATATTTCTTAAGTTCTGCTTATAAAAAAAGTTACATATCTTCGTTTTCGGATGTATTTTACTTCAAAGGGATTTTGTATGTATTATTTTTTTGTTTAATTAACTGTTCATTAATATACACCTACGCAATTGTGTAAAGAAAAAAAAACATATTTAGGTATTTATTGACACACTATTAACTTTACAAAAACGTTCCCGAAATGACCATTTGTACCGAAAGTATTGTTTCAAAGCAGAATTACATAAAAAGTAATGAATTCTATGCTCGCCCCATAAAAGTATTATCCAAGCATAAGTTAAATGACAATATAAACTAATAATCATAACTGTAGTTAAAACAATTTTTTGCGATAAAACCAATCTATACATTTGCGACCTTGATGATTTTGAGCCAGCTCTCCATCAATTAGTAAAAGGGTGGAGAATACACTGGAAAACAAGGAGGTTTCTTGAACATCGAGAGTGCATTCGACAATACATCCATCGACTCCATCATCAGAACTCTGAAACAGAGGAATCAAGGACACATGTGTGACCTGGATAGACTCTATGCTAAGAGGAAGAATGATACTTGCAACCAATATGGTAGAGACGATAACAGCTCGAGTTGCTAGAGGATGCCCACAGGGAAGAGTACGGTATCCACTCCTGTGAAACCTGGTAATCCATAGGCTGCTTAAGACACTCAAAAATAATGGACATAAAACCCTGGGATACGTCGATTATCTCTAGTGATCATGACTCAGGGTAAATACAACACAACAGAGACATATGCATGCAAGAGGCTCTGAACATAGTAACAAAATGGATAGAAAAGGAAGGACTAAAAATTAGTTCCATCAAATCTAGCATAATTGCATTCACGTGCAGGAGAAAGTTAGGGGTTAAAACTGACTCGAAAGTTACTTCGACTCAACATTTGGAAACACCAGCAAGAAAAGCGGAAACATCACTAGGCAAGGCGTTTCTTTGGAAAAAAATGGGGACTGCAACCAAGTATGGTATACTGAACATACAATGTGGTGGTAAGACTAATAATAACACGCAGCTTTGGTATGGTGGCCACAGACTAACAAGACTAAGCAAGGTACAAAGCCTCGACTGTCTTGGAATAACGGGGGCAATGAGAACAACCCCTACAGCAGCAATGAAAGCACTAATATGTTTGTCACTACTTCACTTTGTGATACAAGTGGAGGCAAGATTAGGTGTTAAAAGATTAGGGAACACCTTAGAAAATCTTAATATTAGACCAAGTCCTTCAACACTGCAGTCGAGGTTTTAATACAAAACAGAACTTAGATCACTATAAGAGAACCCAGTACCCAACGACAGGAACATACCTGGTACACAGACGAGTCAAAGACTGCGGAAGACACTGGGCTGGAATATTCTTCAAAAACCCCAATACCAACCTTAGCTATGTAATAGGAAGACACGCTTCAGTATTTCAGGCTGATGTTTATGCAATCTTGCAATGTGCAAGAACGAATAATAGGAGAGCTATCTCGAATAAGCAGATCCAAATAATGTCAGACAGCCAGGCGGCCCTTAACGCCTTATCAAGTCAGAAAGTGACGTCAAGGCAGGTATGGGATTGCATAGAAGAACCGAAGTAGAGTAAAACTAGTTTTGGTGCAGGTCATCAAGGAATCGAGGCTGACGAAATCGCAAAGAGAGGGCCAGAAGAAATACCGAAACAAGTGGAGTACCAAAACGTACAGTTCGAGGTTTCATAAATGACTGCGATCAGAGAAAACACAATAACTATAGGGGGGATATCCCAAAACAAGCACATGGAAGATCTTATTCACAAAGAACTACTCTCCATGAATAGGAAGCAGTTGAAAACAATAACAGGACTCATGATTGGGCACCAGAACAAAATAGGCGTATATAATGGAGACCTATTGTGTCGACACTGTCACAAGGAACCAGAAATAACCAAACACATACTATGTATTGGATCGCAAAAGACAAGACACTTTTTGGAAAACCACAGGTTGATCCAAGAACCTATATGTCAAGGACTTGTGCAAACTTGTACAAGGAACTAAGGTGGCTGAGTGGGTACTATGAATTAATATGGGTCAAATAGAATAGGCCATTAGGCTTCAGTGTTGTCAAAGACTAAGATGAACCCAAGAAAAAAATCTGCTAAAAATAATAAGACCGGGGCTGTTATTTTCTAACTTTCGCATACGGAATTTTGGTATTTTCGAAGGAGATAGAATAAACCCTATTTTCAAGAAAACGAAAAATGTCCGTATTTTCTACGAAAATAAATGGCATGATCAAAAGTCAGCAAATTAATATATCCGCAAACTAAATTCAGCTAATGAGAGATTAAAAAGGAAAAAATAATAAGTCATTATGTTACAAACAAAAGACAAACAAGCGGTTCTTAAATTAAAAGCGAAATATTTAACGATGCTATTAATTTATACAGTTTAGCAGTTTTCAAAGAAGCTAAAATACCAGTTAACATAATTAACGAATAACCTATTAAACTTATACAGTGTGATTCATGAGGAAAGGGTAATATTGTACCTGCAGGTTGTTTAGCGGAAAATATTTTTTTGATTAATAACTGAGGGTCAAATAGGAATTAATACGGATTATGTTAAACTAAAATATTAGTTTATTCGATTTTCCAACGTCAAAAAAAAATTAAAAATTAATTGAAACATTGGCGAGCAAACAATTTAGGTCACTTAATTTTTTTATTTCGAATCAAGTTTTAGCAGTCATAAATCTTTAAAAATATAAAATTTAAAATAAATAAAAAGTAAAACACATAAAATGTAAAACACAATAAATATAATATATTTTTTTTTCTTTTCAATCTTTTGTGTTTCGATCTTTTGTATTTCGATCTTTTGTATTTCGATCTATTTTATAATAATTGTATTATCACTTTGGATAAAAAGTACGCAATGATTGGAATAATGGTTTCATTTTTTTTAGTCCAAAATATATTTTTTTTATTTTGAATCAAGTTTTACCAGTCATAAAGATTTGAACGCACGTAAGTTCAAAAACACAAAATATAAAAACAAAAGATCGATATTTTGTTTTCGATCTTTTTTGTTTAGACCTTATACCTAGGGGTCTTGCAAAAAGATCAAAAACAAAAGACTGAAATACAATAAATATCTGACGATCTTTTGTGTTTAGAACTTTTTCTTAGGAGTATAGCAAAAAGAATGAAATAGAATAAATCTAAGACCAAATAATCCAAAACATCTGTCGATCGTTTGTGTTTAGATTTCTTTCCTATGGATCTAGCAAACAGATCGAAAACAAAAGACTGAAATACAATAAAAGAAACGTGACAAATTAAAAATTGCTTAAAATTTTTTGAGAATTTTGTTCAAAAAATGCGAGATTAATGTCTTTTCGAATGACATCCAAAATACCAAAATATCAAAAACTTTTGTCGAGAGCATTTGTGCACGAGTTAGAAAATAGCAGCCCGGGACCGAATACTTAACTTAAGCTTTATAAATATTTTACCTGCATATTACACCAAGAGTGTGCAATTTTTCCAACGCTAAAAGTAACTGGGCTGCCCATTTAACTACCATCTTTTCTGGAACAACTAATCTATTGGAAAAGATCTCGAAGTCAAAAATAGAAGAAATCTCACTTAATTTTCTTTGGTTACTAGCAACGCTTTCGTTACTAAAGTCCCTTTTATCCGCATTGCTAACTTTTCGTCGGGTGTACTTGTGGTGAAATATTTGATCTGTAAGCACCGTATCCGGAGAATTCATAGGCTTGTTATCTCCAAAAACTTCTTCTGGTAATGCATAATCAGCAACATCCACTTTTTCAAAGCTGCCGTCACTATCTCTTTCTTCAGATTGTTCTCTATTTGAAATTGTTTTGCTTGAATTACTCGAATTTGCCAATCGAGAAATATTATAATCATTAATGAGATCTGAAAAACTTGCTTCTGAATCGTTATCCGAATCTTCTTGAATTTGATTTGTTATAAATTCTTCATCTTTGTCAAAGGATGTATCATTTCCTTGTCGTCTAAGATATTCTGATAATTTCATACCACTGAAACAGTAAATAAATATTTAAAAAATATATTTATCATTTGCAACAAAGTGGGAATATTTATTAACATTTTCATCAACTATTTTATTATTTTTGAAACCATATCGGTAATACCTAAATTCTAATTGAAAAATCAAATTTGATAACCCATACACATCTACAGGGTGTTCTATAAATGTAGCGATAAACTTTGAGGGATGGTAGGGGACATCAAAATTAATATTGTTTGTCCGAAAATGCTTAATTTCCGAAATACAAGGATTTTTATACAAAAATAATAGATATTTGTAATTTTTAAAATTATTTTAAATAAAGCAACTAAAAATAAAACTTGATATTTGTGCGTATCCCACTTCGTTTTCGAAAATCCAAACTATTGCATGTCTCTGAAGCAACTAAAAATAGAACTAATACAATAAAAGTCAAAAGGAAAACGAAGCGAGATACGAAACAAATAAAAGGAACATAAATTTGTATTTTTAGTTGCTTTTTTTAAATCATTATAAAAAATTTCAAAATATACAGGGTGATATTGTTTTTCAGCAAAAAAATAATAGACTTAACCAGTGAAAATTTTTGGAAAAACGCGAATAGGTCCAAAAGACACCATGATCTCAACAAATTGCAAATTTCATTGAAATCGGTTAACACGTTTTCAAGATATTGGTTATTTTTACACCTTATATCTTGGAAACGAAGAGTTTTTGGACATACAGGGTGATCAACTTATACTCCGGAGTTTGATATCTCCGTTGTTTTGCAAGATACGAACAAAAGTTTTGAATACAAATTATAGATAGAGTCCAGCTCCACATTTTAAAATTATTTCGTAATATACAGGATGTTTCATAAAGTCGCAGCATACCAAATTTGGATTTTTAGTGTAACACCCTATATGTTATCTCGAATTTGAATTTTGCTCATTCTCCCCTTTCCGCGAATATAGGGTTTTATCAGGTTCTACAGAGTACTCTTAAAGAAATTGCCACTTTTATGTGAAAATCTTAATGAAATCGTCACATTGTATTATTTAGAATTAATAATTGAGGGTTAATATATCTCAATTCCAGAATAATTTCGTAGTAGTCTAGTTTTGTTGCTGCAACTCATGTTTTTAATATCTTTCATTTTGTATACAGGGTAACCCAAAACTCACGACCATAATTTTCTCAGTTATTATATCATTTTTACAAAATACTTTTACTTTTGTTAAGCATTCCCTATACCTAAGTGTTACAGTCGTTTTTTTGATTTTTAATAATAAAACGATATTTTTGGTAAATACTGAAAGTTTCGTAGAGTTGGCAATTGACAGCTTGAAAAACACGTTAATTATAAATAATCTAAAAATAAAACTGTAGATTTTTTAACAAGACTATCATTAATACTAACAGCTATTAACCAAATAAAAATTCGAAATAGTACTTAGAACAAAATAATTACAATTACTGTTCAAAATGACATTATATTTAAACACATTTCTAGCCATTGGAATACTAATGTTTTGGAAAACAACCCTAATTTTATTTTTCATGTAAACTCTTGTAGTTAAAGATATTTTATTTACCTCATTTTTGACATACCCCCACAGAAAAAAATCAACTTTTGTTAAATCGTTTTATTTACAAAAAAAGATACCTACTTTGGATAAACTTTTAGTAGACATTAATGGAGACGAAACTTTGTCAAACGTTAAAAGAGACAAAATGTGAAAAACTTTACATGAACTATACTTTGGGAGAAGAACGATAGAAAATCTGCGCTCATAGAGAAAGATGAAAACTTATTTATTGGAGGAGGCAATATTTAAGGGAAATTAGGAAGAAACGACAAAAATTTTTTTTTAATTAGACGAAGCATGGATAAATGAAGGACATTTTGTAAAAAAGTTTGGTAAGATAAACAGCAAATGCATTTATAGAAGGTTTGTTTACTGGCTTAAAATTTCCAAATGGTAAAGGTTGGAGGTATTGGAGGAGATAAAGGATTTGTTAAAAGACGCTTGTTAGAATTTGTTTCAAATTCTAGGAAATACTACCATGAAGAAATTACTGTTAATGTTTTTAAGGAATATTTTAGTCAAATGATAGATTTATTACCGATCAATTCTGTAATAGTTATGGACAATGCCAGTTACCATTCAAGATTAAAGGAACCGTTACCTAACACTAAATAGAAAAAGCAAGAACTCTCCGATTGGTTAATAACCCAAGAAATAGTGGCAGAAGAGATTGCTCAAAAAAGAGCTATTGCGGTTATGTAAACAACATTCACCAAAATTTAAGAAGTATAGTGTAGATAAAATAGCAAAAGAACATGGAGTTAAAGTGTTACAGTTACCACCTTATCACTGGTAACAACCCCATTGAACTAATATGGGCTCAAATGAAGGGATTTGTCGCGAGAAACAATAAAACATTTAAACTTCAAGATGTTCGTCAACTATTATGTGACTACATATCAAAAATATCACCAGACAATTGGACGTAGTTATGCAGAAATGGTCCAATACACAAATCTACCAGAAATGACTTAAGTAGTTTTTCGATAAATTACGGTCCAAAATTATATTCTTCTGAATCGATTCAACAATTTAGAAGGATATTCATAGTAAAAATCATAAATATTCGCTATATATTCTATTGTTATCGCGTAGAGAATTTAACTTTAAGATAAGTTTTCTCAAATTATGGTTTGGGTGCATTGTATCATTTTTGCATAACTACGTCCAATAAAATGGCAAAACGCTATGTCATAGCAGAGGAAGAGAAATTCTGGAAACTTGATATGTTAATAGAGGAAACAATAGAACCAATTATTTCTATGGGAAGTTAGGAAACTGATGAAAATGACTCCTTATCGGGAGAAAACGACTTATTTATTTAGGTATATTTATATTAATTATAATAAGTTTATATGACGCTAGTACCCGAAATACAAATAAATTTATATGGAATCACCCCGTATTTCTAAAAACGAAATATGAGTGTTTTAAGAGAATGTTTTTTTTGCAGTTTTTTTTTTTAGTAAGTAGGGTGAATCGTCCAGTTAGCCGGCCACCACCAGTTCTCGGCCATTTTTCGAAAATCTAGTGAATAAATAATTATAAGCATTTGACTGCTAGCTTCCACGATTTTTAAATAACTTACTTTTCTTTAGACTCATTCCCTACCACTCTCCACTAAGCGCCATTTTGCAAGCTTGCATAACAAAAAGTTAAAGTTATCGCTTATGGAAGACCCGTGCACGTAAAATTTTGGTAGCGTGCATCCCTTAGTGAAATAGTGTTTATTTTATGAAATACTGGTTTTAAAGGTTTTATTGTGTTGAACTATTTCTATTATGTATAGAGAAAATTATAGATTATGGATTTTAAGTGTTTTTTTTTTTTGGGTGGCCGGTAAACTGGATCAATTAAAAGGCCCAATGCCTTTCTAGGTCGGGCTGGCCGAGAACCGGTGTTAAAAGTTATATATATTATTTCGTCTTTTTTTAATAAACTATTTTATAATTGGAATTATCTTGTTTTTTTTTGGTGCACTTAAAACGGTTAGTACAACAAAATAGCCAGTTTTCGGCAGGGCCATTTGCAAAAACGCTACAAATAAAAAGTCGTAAAAGAGCGGCCGAGAAAAGGTATTTCATTCGTTTCTCGGCCATACCTTTAACTTGTAATGGTTAAGTTTGCTTTTTTACTATTGTTTTGTATAGACCTACGTGTGTTCTTTTAAATAAATTTGAGAATCCTTAGAACTACTAACTAATTAAATGTTTTTCAGATGGCCACTATCAAGAGAGACAAGAAATTAAATATGTCGAAGCAAGCAAGAAAATTATTCAGCTATTCAGACAAAAAACTTAATTTAGCACCACAATCAGTGAGAGAGGGCAAAATAAGCATAAGAATAGCTGCAAAGCATTTAAGTGTACCAAGGATCAGCAAAACACCAGACAAATTGCGCAAAACGGGTCCGCAGCCAATTATGATTGTTGAAGGAGAAAAATGCATTAGGGATTGGGTTATAAAATAAGTCTGGCCAAATGTGGATTCCCAATAAAAAAACATGAACTAATAGAAACAGTAACTAAAATAGCAACGGAAAAAGGAAAAATTTAAAAATGACCGTTTAGAAGAATAATGGTGTACATGTACATGTTTTATCAAAAGGGTGCGTTCATTTGAATATTTTTTTATTAGTCCCATCCAATAAAGTTGTTATTTTCCAATTATTTTTTTAATTATTTTCTAGTTTTATTTCAATTTTTTAATAGCATTGTCAAAAAATGGGTTTTTCGGCCACCCGGCCAAGAACTGGCATGATGATGGCCGAGAAAATAATCAGATCGCCGAGAACTAGCAAAAAGTACATTCCTTATACATTATTTAAAAAAAAAACCTAATAGATTTCACATTTTTAAAAGATACGTTTTAATTTAGTTATACTACAAACGCCTCTTTTTAAACTTCAGCTTAATGTGAAAATTGAGTTAAGTGGCCGACAACTAGGCAATTCACCCTATATCATATATCATAAATTTTATTATTAAATTTTAAGTAAATGTCCTAACCTAATATCTAGTATACTATTTTTATAAAAATAAATGTGGATATTTAATATTGACAGTTTACTATTTTTTATATTAAAGTAATTTCGTGTTCCCGTCACTGAGTTATACAATTATTGATTAATCCCTTAGGGTTTGCTCATTTACATTTTATTATGTATTGTACTGAAGATTTTTCGGGGTGCGCATACTAAAATCTAGTGAAAATTCAAATAAGAAGGTATCATCATTTACTTTTTTCTGCTTTGAACAATCCTGTATCTATACCTTCGCCATAAAAATTAGGCCATCATGGATTTTCAAATAAACTATAGTCAAGTCCAAATTTATGAATAAATTAGGAATCGAACAATCTATGAAAGTCCTAAAATTATTAATCATCTGCCGGATTCCTTAAGATCAATTAGATCTCCATCTTTATTTAGGAAAAATATAAAAAATATATTAAATGAAAAACCATATTACAATCTGTTGGGAGTTTTATAATGACGAATTTTAAAACTAAGTATATTTTTTTCTATAGGTTTGTTTATATTTTGTTAACAATTGTAATCAAATTTTAATATTTTTTTTTAGCAATTTGAACGTTATCATTTATTATAGCATTTGTATTAAAATTTGTCCAGTATAAAAAAATAAGTTAGCTGACTTGAATTACTTATGTGATGTGTGAATGTTTAGTAGAAAATAAATCTCCATGTCAACCATTCTTGGGTGCTATTTATAACCTCGGATGTTTAAAAATTGCCATTATAACAATATTTTTACAATATAACCATACTTTTAATAAATAATTCTAATTATTACAATCATAAAATGATACGAGTTTACTAGACTTACCTACGATATTCTAATACTAAAAATAAAGCATTTTCACAGTTATAATGACTTTCAAGTTTGACCATATAAGGCACGTTTTCAGGCAATATCAAATTTTCGTTGAGGAACTGAGTAGTTTTGTGTATTACCTAAAACAGTGAAATATAATATTAATACAATTTATAGCTTTCGTTTATCTTTGAGTAAAAAGATTATTATATGCAAGCAGTGGCGTAGCCAGAAATTGTTAATAGCAGGGATTTCTGAGAGAGAATTGTGGGTGGTTAACAAATAGTTAATAGCGATCAGCGCCAATAGGATAGTGGAAACGGTGACGCGAAAGTCTTTGGGGGGTTCTGACCCCCAAAACCCCCCGTGGCTACGCCACTGTATGCAAGAAACCAATTTAGATGAATCAAAACTAACTAATTTGGTTTAAACTTTAAAAATAAAAAGTTACTAAAACTACAATAAATTATGACATCAACTAGAGTGGATCATAAGACCACAATCAGTAATAAAAATGAAAATTATAATATGGAAAACAAAGTGGTTAAAAATGGAAAATATGACCACGCTTTCAACGAGGAGTGAACCACTCACTAAATACTGGTCCGTTTTCACTCAAAATCGCTAAAACTGTTCTAGAAACTTCCGAAATCATCACCGAAATCTCTTTGAAATTAATTTGCTTCGAAATATAAACGCAGCATCAAAAAAAAGGTTATTTGATTTTTCGAGAAAGTTTATAGATAAAATAATTCATAGAAATTGCGCTGAAATCAATCATGAACTTTTGGAGATTTTCAAAATACGGGTACCTTCTGACCTTAGTGGTTTACACCTCTGCTGACAGCAACAAGTATTGTAATTACAACCACTTAAATATTCACTGTAGATTACCGTCGACAATAATAATTGAAGGGCTTATTGTAAAAACATGATAAGCCACACTTTTAAAAATGATGGCATTTTCTATTTCATAACATTAAAAAATAAGGTTACAAAAGCTTGAACCAAATGGAAATTCTCCAACAAATGCCACAATTAACCGAAAAATCAAGTTATTACATTTTAACAAAGTTGTAGTAGTTATAGAAGTTTATTTAAACATTTGAAGACGTGTTTCCTTATAAAATTATTGTTGTGACTTATCATGTTATTTCAATAAGCCCTTCTATTTCCAAATTAAATTTTTTTTGACTAATGTTGAACGAATGGACTAGTTATCGCCATAATTAATTTTTGTGGAATATACCCCGGTGATAAACTATTATATAAAATGTTTTGTCCAAGTATCGATGCGTATGAGTAGTAAACACAAGAGTATAATTTTTAATTACACAGTATCCATGATAAAGTGATAGAAATACCCCAAGTCCTCTGACAAAAGAGTATCGCATTTTTAGTTACAGTTTGCACGTGTCTATTTATTAAGGTGCGTTTACACAAATACAAGAAGTCACTCTGAAAAAATTAAGATTAAGTTTTATATTTTGTCTATAAATACTAGAACAATTTACTTTCGTACTTTATAAATAAATTTCCCAGCTAAACATTAGTTTTTAGCGTTTTTAGAGTTTTTAAAGATAATTCAAAGCAGGTACTTGCAGGAGCGATCGTTCCACCTTGCCAACTTTTTCTGTCACTTCCCTTGCTACATACTCGTCTCATTCATAAATACAGGCATAAAGTTACCGAGTTCTATCTCCTTGTTAAAATTTTTCAATAACGACATTTTTTTAACTGAATCGATGTTCGTTCCAACAAAAACTATCTGTTGTTACTACATTTTACATCAGGCATTTCTTCCAAAAATTGTTTATGTAACGATTTCATTCTTACATGTTGCGCACCTTCGTACATCCTAAATATAACTTACTTTGGCTTACTTTTTTAGACATTTTCACTACTCTGTATCAGAATTTAATGGTTTACTAAGTCTTTAGAAATATTTAATACCTCTGCAGCCTCGCAAATAGATTTGTGTCGCTTAAAATAGGAAACTACCAAAACATACAAAGTTTTAACAAATTGACAAATTAAAAATTATTTTGGTAACTGCCACCTGACATAATAACATGATCAGAGATTAGAGAAATAAAGATAGGAAACGTAACGCCCGCAGCAACGATGGCGTCATCTATGCGTCTCAGATGTTAACTAAAGGTATACGTCGTTTGTAGACAGTGTTGTCAAATATTTTTTTTTTTTTGAGAGATCGCACAGAAAAATGGTATTTCGACAAAAAATCGTACAATAGGTACATATATAGCATAATATAAATGGAATGGAAAAAACCTTAAGAAATACATGAAACTTTTAATTAACACTAGAGTAATTAATGACTGTCACTAGAAAGTGATTGAAATTAAGCATGCAAACCTTTGTTATGCCGTAATCCTTGGTGTTGATACAAAATCACCATGGTCAATATCACGATAAGTAAGAACGAAAATGACTGCCTTCAGAAATTACGAACGGCCTAAGAATCTGCAAGTAGTTTTTGAATTTTATTGTTTTATGTTCTGAAGTTGATGCAGATATTTAAATAAACCTACTAAAAAAGGGAAGATCGTATTTTTACGTACGATCTCACTGATGCAACCGTACATAGTAGAGAATTAAAAAATCGTATAAATACGATTTAAATCGTACGGTTGGCAACACTAAGACAGACAGTAGACGTGGACAACAGGCATTGCGTTCGGTCTGTCAAGTTCCTTTAACTCCTTTAACACTTTTTACTCCAAACGACCCTTTTAGCGTTCGGTTTAGTCCGATTAGTGACAGTTTAACACGCTTAAATGTCATTTAAAGCAGCCCTAAAAAACTCCGCTTTTGTCCCGCTCCAGCCCCTGACTATCCGAACTCGCCTAGGAGAGTTTGTAAAAATAAATATCAGTTTTATGTACATTGAAGAATCCTGAATTTAAATTTTAAATTTTGAGTTAATGATTGTGTTATCCTCTAGATGAACTAACCGAAATAGTTGTGGCTGCTTTCGTGTGAAATTTGAGGACAATAATTATATTTTGTAATATTACAATAAGTCGGAGAACGTATTGCATTAATAACACAAGCCACATGAATAAATTTAACAACCCCAATGTGGCGTCCTTTAATTAACCAAAGATCTAGTCATGTAAGTAACACAAATAGTAACCAACTTTTGTCAAAAAGTAGGTATTTATTTATTGTTTTAGAACAAGAAAATGGCTTCAAAACATTAGAAAGAAGATTTGATATAGGAAGAAATATATCTGAATTCCCATTATTGAGTTTGCACTCAACATTTTTAAATAAGACACCATTAGCCATTCGTTTCGAAAATAAGAACAAAAATGTAAGTTTACAAATAACGATCAAAAATTAAAAAATATTTGTCATGAATAGATTTACAATAATTAATCGATAATAGACAGTAAGTATATTCTTTTTTATAAATAATTTAGTGTAATTACATTGATTAAATTTATTTACAAGAACATGAGAGTGCAGTCAATATTTATTATCAGGTTTTTAAACTTCCCGCTGCGTTTTTTGACATCGATGAAAGCGCCACATAGTGGGTCAGATGTTAACTGCGTTAAAGCATTGGCTTCTTATGAGCGTTTCCTATCTTTATTTCTCTTACCTCTGAACATGATGTAATTAATCTACAACGTGCCAAAATCTAGTAACTTTTTGTTTCATTTATTTTACAGCGAATGGACTTGGGGTATTTCCGAGACTTTACTATAATAGTAGCGGTATACGGGGTAGCGAAAAAGTCTGGCACCAAGGTATTTTCTGTGAAACGAATGAATGTATATTATTATGAAATTGTAGGGTGATGAATGAGACTATATTACATTATTATTTTTTTTTTATCCTATACAGTATACATACAGTGTAGCTAAAACGTATTTTAGGGTGATAAATGGGATTGCATTACATTAGTAATGTGGTACTTATTCAGAATTCTTTAAAAGAGGAAAAAATAAGCTTTTCTTTGATATATCACTCGTTGCTAGTTGACGGAAGTAAGCTAAACGTTGAAATCACATAAATTTGAGATGTCCTCTAAAAAATTGCATATGGCGACTCTCTCAACGCTCTTCACAAATTCCTGACATTCGATTACTACCTATTATATGCGTATTCCGTGTAGTATGTTTACTAGTGATGGGCATAATCGAATGATCGTCATAATCGAATACTCGGATGATTAAAAATCGAATTTGTCAAGTATTCGAATCAAATCATTCCAATGATTTATTATATGCCATCATCAATTATTGAGTGAGTCAAAATCAATGTGTCAAAAGTTAACTATCCAATCAGAACGCAATGTACCTAAGTCTAAAATGTCATACGTCAATATTTACTTTTATTTATCATGCAACCGTTTTGCTTATGGTGCTGGCGCACGGCGTACTGATGGAGTGGTTGGATGGTTCCCCGACTTGACAGAGATATAGCGAATTAGAACGCGATATCCTAAAAGAGAAGAGGGAAAAACGTTGCATGGGTATCCTACTTAGGGAAAATAGGCAATTTTGCGTGCCTATTATATTCCATATTTCAACAAGTCACCCGGGAACCTATTTTCAAACTCGAGAGAAATTATTTCTCTCAAGAATTTCATGAAAAATGTCATGTCAGCGTGAAAACAGTATTTTAAAAGGCACTGAGGATTAAAATTCTTAGTAAAATATTAATTTTCCCGAAAAAACTGAAAGAAACAGTCACTTCTAACTGGCATTAAAAATTAGGCATTCCAAACTGAATGGCTACCAGTGGGTTTTGACAGGTTATGATATGGCAAAATTATGGCAACCCTGTAGGCCTGGTGATTTGACAAGGTCAATGAAATAGATAGTTACATAGTTTGATCATCCATATTTTTCAAAATAAACATAAGCTTATGCCCTGAAGTAAAAATGCAGTTATTATTTTTTAAATATCTAAAGGCTGAAAATTGGTTTTAAAATACATTTTTGCTAAATCGATTCAAATTAATAAATATTTGCCAGGCAATTTGACCGCTCGCAAACGACCAGCTTTGAGCAATCTATATAACTATTATGTATCATTGACCCTGTTAATGACAACATGACAACAGGGTTGCCATATCTAAACTGTCAGTACCCACTGGTAGCCATTTGGACAGGTCGTTGGAATGCCTAATACTATTTCCACGTTGACGTATGACATTTCTCATAAATATCTTGAGAAAAATCATAGTTTTAAAATAAGTCCCCAAGTGACTCTCGTTCGTTTATTACAATTTCAGACATTTCAAACGATTCGAATGATATTAGTATAATCGAATTAATTCGAATGACGGTAATTATCGAATATTGGAATGATTTACCATGATCACATCACTAATGTTTACCTGCAGTAAAATGGTTTACAGTCCGAAACCCCTTGATTGCATTTAGGCAGTACCCCACGCATATAAAAGATTTGGAACTTCATTGTTCCCAATAAGCAAAGAGGCAGAAACTTCTTATAATATCATTTTAAAACTAAAACTATAATCTGTTTATATTTTCATTTTCCTGTAGTTGATAGCATGGTGTAAAAATTGTGTGCAACAAGTGAAACATAAATACTATAAAGTAATAGAAAGGCATTTTAACGGCGATTGCCACTACACTTCTAGTCCCGATTGTAACTCAGGACAACTACTTCCAGGGCTATATGCTCAACTGGACATTGGATTGTAGTGTCATAAAACGCGACAAACTTTCTCGATACAAAACTCTTTGATTTGGCATTTAAAGAGCTAATATTCTACGACCGGTTTCGCCCTATTTGGGGCTCATCAGGTGAAAAGTAGTCAGCTCGAGTATAATCTCATATACTATACTATAAAATAAGTTTCACATACTTTTAACTGATACTATTTAGCAACGTTGTAATCATTTGTATTTATTCTATTAGCTGCTTATGAGCGCGAATAATAAATAATAGTAGTTTAATACCAATTTGGTTAAACGAACTAATTAAATTGGCGCCCGAGTAATTTACGGATTGAAGGCGTCAAGAAAACGCCTTAAACGTTGGACTGCCGCTGTGGGATATATTTCAATGACCAATGGCGTAGCTTAGTAGTGGTAATTCATGAAAATAATTATTTATGCCAGCTTTCGACAGATATGCTTCACAAATAAATAAATAAAAGTAATTTCATTACACAATTAATGGGAGCTTTGTAATGAAACATCAGCGAACTAAATTAAAAATACATTTTTGTTTCTAGAACTGTAAAGGATTAAGAGGTTATTAATATTAACGTTTTTATTTTTTTAATATCAAGAAATTAATAAATAAAGGTTTTCTTAGACCTTTATTGTTTTTATGTAAATAGAACTAAAAGTGCCGATTCGCTATTGTAGCTAATTATACAAAAATGATAGAACAAGCAATTATTATTTATAATAGTGAAAAATTCAAGTGTTATGTACTTACTTTAACATAAAATAACTTTTGCAATTCAGAGTGTAAAACTAATATACCAGAATGAATAATCTTCACCACTTTAAACTTATAAAGGTCAAATAAAGGCCTCTTACTAGTATCTTCTTCGATGGATTCGTTCTAAAATAAAAGTGTCAATCGATCAACAATTTAATTTAATATAATATATAGGGTGGATCTCAAGTTAATACTAAGAGAAGTTGTTAAAAAAATATTTTTACCAAATAACTTTTTTTAAAACTAAAAAATAAAAAAGATAGGGAATTAAAAAATCTAAATGATTGCCTGGATTTGTGTATCGAAAATTAAGCTAAATGTTTACATTTTTATTATTGTACCTTTTTTGTTAGGTTTTATCATGAAGCTCTTCCCGATCAATATAATTTACTCGGGTGTTTACTGTTGAATAAAATACTTATTATGAAAACAATGAACTTGAGAATACGTTGCTCGTTTTTAACAAATGCATATGCGTCATGGTACTTGTTCGGTGTTATACAAAATGAACAATGAACGATTTACTATATGTTTCAACACTTCAATAAATGGTGAAAACTTGGAACACATTATTTACAGGGCCGTATTGGATCCATGTTCATGTAAGTTCAAAAATAATGTTCATTATTTCGTAGAGGTATATTGGGATTAATTTGGGGATTTCCTAAGAATTTGTTTTGTATTTTTGAGTTTTTTTGCAAAATCTGTTTATTTTAATTACTTCTATACACTGTTAAAACAAGTATCAACTTAAAATTTACCCTTATAGTTCAAATTGTTAATAGTTGATAACTTCTAAAATACATACCATTACCTCTAAACTCTTTATTTCTGGAGAAAGGTGCATGTTGTAGATTTTATCGGCACGAATACGATACTTGTTAATTTTATATTTTACCAGTTGTTTCCTTTCATAAACGGGGTCATCTGCAAATATTAAAATACATTAAAAAATCTATATTTGAATAAGTAATAAATATAAATAATCAAAATCTAGAAATGGTTCTTATTACGCATTTAAATCAATTATTGGTCCCGTTCTATTTATATTGTTTATAAATGATATAACAAATTGCTTCTTAAATACGTCAGATCTGGACTAAATGATACAATATCAATCGCTTGTCTCTTAATGTAAGCAAATTACTCATTTTACAAGCTCCCAACATTATCAAGAATGTTTATAAAGTAGATGTTATATTAGATAAAGCCTCATCCATTGATGATCTTGACAACACCCTTGACACCGGTCTGACATTTAACCCACCTGTTGAGTCTATCAGCCTTATCCAACACCATACTCCTTAAATCTATGACACCAAGGCCATTATATAACTTTGCAATTGTTACTGTGTTTTAATCTGGATGCATATCTACACAGGCCACATTAATAGAATTGAACTAGTACAACGAACGTTTGTAAAGTCGGTCAAGTATATTCTCTTTCAGTTTCGTTTTCTATACCGGAATACTTCATACAAAACGTGCTATTATCTATTACGTGGTATGCAGTCACATGAAGTAAAAAGAAAACAATATTTTCCTCTGTTCTTATTTAAATTACTCTCTGGAGTGATATGCGACGTTCATTTGGAAAAGATCAGCTTTTTGACTCCTACTCTTTTGTTCTATATTAAACAACCTGTTTGGCTATCCATGTGACTGTTGCAAAAGTATAGTGTATAAAATCCATAACAAAAATAAGAGCCCTTATTATGACCACAAGAGTGATGATGTTTTTCTGTAAAGAATGCCAAAAATAAATCAAAGCTATGCCTAACTTTATGAGGAAAGTTGACTCACCCAAAAAAAAAGAAGACAATATAAAAACTACTCTGGAAAGTATCAAAACAAGATTCTAAAAATCTTGAAAATGAAGACCAAACTATGAAACAAAACCTACAGTAACTTGAACTACAATTAAGGAAAGTCCTAAACAAGATAAACAGAAAGTGGAACCAACCATTCATAAAATGCAGGAGCTAGAAAAGCTAATCTATAATATTTAAGTAGTCGGTGTTAAATAAATAAGCAGTCCTCATCACAAAGCACAAAGAGGTTCCATGTGAATGACCAAGGTCAACAGCGACAACTGACATTTTTATGCTATTTGCTCCAAACACTAATGGAGTTAATGAATAGTCCTTTATCCTCAGGTAAAAAGACATTTATAAAATATAACTTTAGGTGTTAAAAAATGTAATATCCTAGTCTCTACTTCACATTTAATATATTGATATTTTAAAGATTTCATATTGTATACATATACCTATTTGCTCCAAGTAAGTATTCCTTAAATGCATAGTTAAATATGTATTATTATTTATTTCATTATACAAATTAGACCCATTATAACAAATTAATTCCTTAAATTTGTCATATCGACCTAAATTATTTTGTAAAATAAAAGTTTCGAACTTACTAGTTCTATACTTTATTTTATAAAATAATTTATGTGGAAATTATTTAAAATTTAATTTAGAAATACTACTACCTACTACTAAAAAGATTTAAATTTACCGCCATCTGTCAATTGTCATTTTAGTTCCTGCTTCAAAGATCATAAAAAAGATGATAAAAATAATATAAAAGATAAAGATAATAAAGCTGATAACAGAATTACCCCATGAGGCACCAATTGGAAAAAATGATCACGAAGTGCTCTTCGCCACAGAACAGTTAACCTAGATATAAATAGTGGTAACAAATAACTACATCTAAATTTCTGGGCAGTCAGCTATGAACAAATTAGAGAAGAAATTAAAAAAACGATATACGACAACTTTGAAACACTCCTGAGTAGAATAAGTACAAATCTAAGTATCTTAGCAGATACAAGATCTACCTCTAATCTAATTAACATTGAATGTATACCTTAAAAAGTAGTTGTGGTGAGCAATTAAGCAAGCTACTTGCCTGTGGTATGAATGAATCCCTAACTGAATCCAAGATCCCCGAAAAATGGAAAAGAACAACTGTTATACCTATATACAAGAAATGGGGACAAGCTAGAAGCTGCCAACTACCGTCCAATCATTCTGACATCTGTTACCTGTAAAGCCATGGAGAACATTAAAACCAGCATGGATTCTTGCCAAAGATATATGTCAGCACTAATATTCTCCAAAACCTAGATACCTGGATCAAAGCATGATGGGTATTCAGTAGATGTAATTTACCTGGACTTTTAAAAAGCATACAACACTCTACCCATCTGAAGGCTTCTTTACAAATTAGAACATTATGGAGTTAGAAGCAGTCTACTAAAGTGGATTGAAAACTACCTCACTGATAGAAACTTTTAGGTTAGAGCAAATGAAAGCCATTTAAGTAGTCGCCTCGAGATTAGTGGAGTTCCCCAAGGATTGGGCTCCAACTATTTATAACATACATCTCAGATATCTCTCAAAATATTATGTGCACAGTCACTTCGCAGATGATACAAAAATTTTCTGTGATGTATCAATTCAACACGGGCAGCTCATTGAGGATCTAGATACTTTACTAAGATGGACCAACAACTGGTGTTACACTTAAATGTCCATAAATGATGTGTACTCCACCTAGGTTCAACTAACTAACTAGCACCTACAGGTAAACAGAACATTGTATTAGACCTTAAATGAGCAGCACAGGTTGAAAAGGTAGTGACGAGAGCAAATACTACGATCTATCTAATAAGGCAGTTATTTAGTTGTATCACTTAGATGTTTCTGATGATGTATAAATCCTACATCAGACCATTTCTCGAGCATACAGTAGTAGCCTGGTCTCCATATTTCATCAAGGATAGTGATCTTCTGGGGAGAGTTCAGAAAAGAGTTACTAAACTGCCTTACACTCTAGATAGCAAATCATATGAGGATAGTCTTAGAGGAGATCTCATAGAAACTCACAAAATCTTGAATGGGTACTATGCAGTAGAGCTTGACTGTGTTTTCATAAGAAACGAGATTAATTATTTACGTGGACATAACCTAAAACTGCAAACTGAGAGAAGCCAGAAACTTTGGTGTAGAAATATCCTGACAGTGGTACGAGTGTAGAACGAGCTCCCAGGGAAAGTTCTAACCTCAGACACAAAAAACAAATTTAAAAACTCTCTCGATGAGTAGAGCATGTGATATATTGTAATAAAAAAATCTGTGATGTCCATTATAGATTTAATTCGACTGTAACTTTAAAAGCAGGTAATCGGCATTGCCGCCTGCTGTACTAACTTTAATAATAATATCGAACCAACTATGGGTGGAAAGCATTCACTACAATAAGTTTTACGCTAAGTGCGACATTTTCATTACAAAACGAAACCAGAACTCTCAAATTCAGCTGCGAGTGACTTTGTGCTTAATATTTTGTATTTTAATGTATTTTTTAATTTTTTTATTTTTATTCAAATCTTAAATTTGCTTTAGTTGAGCTTAGGAAATTTACGAAAAATTCAAAATAAGGAATATACTTTGTAGTTAATGTCATGGGAATTCCTAAGCCGTCTCTGTTTAAGCAAGCGACCTTCCTGTACCACCCGACTCATGCTCGAAACGACGGAATCTTCTAGGTATGCCGCTGACGCGTCTCGAATATACCAAAACAAGCGGTATGTGACGTTGAGTCATAGAGATAGAATTCTAGGACATTCCATCGCATTTTCTGGAGACTTCTCGTACAGAGTGGGCTTTGTATAAATAGCACAACTTCGTCGACGGACGAGTTAGTTTAAAATAAAGTATTGGACTGAAAAGTTGAATTGTAATAAATAGAATTGTAGTATGTCATAAATAAATTGTAAATAGTGTGTTTTAAATAAATAAACTCTAAATAAATTAAATTATCGTTACATTAATAACTACTTACCATTTCCATGTTTGGATAAAATATCAATAGCTGTATTATAAGCTACATGCGCCTCTTCGAATTTTCTATCTTCTTCCAGTTCAGCAGCCAAATTTATATGAACAGATGCATCAAGAATATACTGAATGTTGTCGTCCAAACTTTTTATAAGAGGTATGTTGTAGCTATGGCCATCTAATAAGCTGATATTATCAAATATGTTAGTGATATTAGACAAATCCGAGTTGTTTGAGGAAGTATGAGAATTTAATGAAGCTGTAGAACTGAATTTATGAAGTTTTGAATGCTGATGGTGATTATTGGGTTTTGTTGACTCTGTCAATATGTCCACCTAAAAAACGAAAAAATTATTTAAGTTATAATAACCTGTAATTGATTAGTTAGTAGTTGATGTGATCAAAAAAAGAATAAATAAAAAAAAATATAATTATATTATTGAAAAATAATAGGATGGATAGCTTCAACCTTTTAACTGAATGATTGCTGTAATGAATACGTGGTCGCTCAAGCCTTTTGAAGGTTCGGATTTTAATGAGGTGGCTAGCTTTTTGTCATTTACCAGCAGCAGATCAATCAAAGATCTCTGTTCATTGCGTATTCATGTTGGAAAGTTAATAAGTTGCTTAAAATTCGAATGTTTGTATGTGGTGAGAAAGTCTTTTGCTTCATTGTTTTGAGAAAGTGTTATGTTCTCCAGTCAATATCACGATAGTTAAAATCCCCCAATATGAATATATTTCTCTTATCTTCTGACGCAGACAATCATTTTTGTTAGATGCGTATTTTGTTGATGTACAACTATTCCCGTTATCTTTGACATCTACCCATGTAGACATGATTTTAGAATTAGGTTAAAAAAAAACTCTTTATATTAGTGAGAAATAAAACTCTATAAAATGAGTGCCGCTCATTTCTTTTAAAAATTTTAAAGAGATAGCTGTCACTTCAAATAGGTTAAAAGGGGATATATTACTACCTTGAAAAGGAGAAATCGTATAACAGGTTATTAGGAAAATAAAATTTCCTAGATTATTTCCCTCGCCTGTCAACTTTGACAATCACATTGCAATTCACGTTATCCTTAGAACCAGTCAGAACCCAATAAATTGACTATTTTCACTGACTATTTCAAATCGACTATCCATACATGGTGCTTGGATATTCATTTATGTTGACAGCAACTTGCATGGTTATATGTATATTTAATAACAGCTACTGTCAAATATATTTAATGTCAGAGTACAAGCTTATATCTAGTGGAACTTTTCAAAATGAACCGTAAATAAAAGTTATTTTATTGTGTATTTATTTATCGAAAGTGCCGAAATTTTGGATTTTGTCAATTTTTCAATTTTGCGCAGGCGCATGTCGGAAATAAATCAATATTTTTAAAACGCAGTTTACGACATTTGAAAGCTTAGGAAAAATGCAAATTTTTATGTCTCTTGAGAAATTTTGATCCGATGCACCGTTCTCGCGGTATGGACGATTGAAATTTGTTTAGTATTTTGAGGCGACGAAGGTCGAAAAATTGAATTTGTTAAATGTTCAAACACTAAATTCTTTATAACATTGATAAAAATTAAGATATTTGAAAAAACAAAAATGCGTTTTGAACTTAAGGGATGTGACTAGTGATTCCCAGAAGGGGGCAAAAGAAATCCCAAAATTGGGCATATGGCGGAAGGGCAAAATGCACCGCTGTCCTAATTTCATTGTTTGCCTATAACGGTCAAACTATTTGAATTTTTTTAATGCCACTTACAAAGCTTACTCTTAAATGTGAAATCTTATGTGTGTGTGTGAATTTCACCGACATCGGACCATAATTGGCTAAGATATCAAACAATTAAATAATTTTTTTTTTCCAAAAAAAAATATTTTTTTTTTCGATTTGAAGTGGCACAAAAATGCCAAAAATGCACCCAATGGCTCAAAACTTTTTTTTTGAGTACTCTATTATGTCTAGAATACGATTACATTACGGAAAATTCTGCAAATATATTTTATCTATTTTTTTGACCACTGTTCATTGAGTGACGACCAAAAAACACGGTTTTTGAGAAAAGTTGCCTAAAATTGACAATTATTAGTTTTTTTGTCTGAAAATTAAACAAACCCAAATTTCATGTCTTCTAAATGTGTATACAAAGTTTAAAGTGTGTATGTTTCTTCTAAGTTGTAGAATTCTCCCGACAAAAGTCCCATTACACGCGCTCCGCGGGATCCAAAACTCGTGTATACACTACATTACTGTAATTTGATTTTTTTGCGATTTCCAGTTTTAAATTTCTTGCATATCTAAATTTATTAGGCTTAAAATTTATTAAATTGTATTTTACTGACTTGTTATAAGACGTTTCTTGAGTTTTGTGCAAAATATAGAATTACCAGATATTAGCGAACAAAAAGCAAGCTTATCACCAAGTTGGAACTTACACTCAGACTTAGGATTAATTTCCTAACATTTTTAAAGTATACCTTTTTGTGTATTTTTTTGTGCTCTTTTCGATGGCAAAGTTAGTTTTTTCAAATATATTTATTTTGTTTTCGGAAAACCCGGAAAAAATAACATGGGAAAAAACTACGCCTCTCGTTTCCTGCGAATGCCCGAAAAATTATGTCAGATTTCGCCGCGGGACTTATTTTATTTGAGAGCCAACAAAAAAATACGCAACTTCTCTCATGGGCACATATGTCTAACATTTATAATTTCGCCACAAATTCATCGCAAATTTCATGTCCATGGTTCTGATCAAAAAAACGAAAAAACGACTTTTTGGTAAAAGCACTTCTGGCGGCGAGAAATTCGCCATTAAAACTACCTGTGCAATGAATTTCCGAACTATTTTTGCCTCCTCTTTCGAATGGTGCATTTATTTTCACTATCGGAATGATACTTGCCTAGATAATTAGCATTTTTACAATGGAAAATTCCGGAAAACCCGGTTTTTCCTAATTTAAAAAAAATTGAAAAACTGCTACATCCTTTTTTTCTTTTTTTCGGAAAGATCACATCAAAATACACAAGGTCCTTTTTGTTTCATCCAATTACAAATTAATGTAAGCTCGAAGGGGCTTTTTTTCGTTATTTAATTGGACTATTAGGGAAAAGTCGTGTATCTTACACCAGTTTTTTTCTAAAACCTGTCATTTCTATCAATTTTCAGATTATCGGATTTTCTTGATGGTCATACCAAATGAAAGAACAACTCATACTCAAGCTAAGGGTTTAATAAGAAATTTGTACATGACCATCTTGTACCTTGCCCCTTGAGATCTTGTACCTTGACCAATAAAAATTATATGAGGAAATGTATTAGAAAAAAATGATTATTTAATTAGCAAGGTATTAAAATAGTGGTAGTGGTATAAAACGAACTTAAATTTTATTAAAAAGATATAAATCATTTAAAATAAAGCCCTAAAATATATAAAAATTAAAAACCTAGTCAACTTTGTATAATGCAAAATCTACATAAAATGTTAACTGTATTACTTGACGAGCAGAACCACCTACACTCAGGTGGAGGTAATTTCAAAATAAAATCTTTTTCTGGTATTTCATATATTTTTTCCGATTCATACAAAAACTTGTGTTGCTCCTTCTATTTTTCTCAGATATCTTATTTTAAAAACACCTTCCGCAACTTTCATAACTTCCACAACATAGTAGCGAACCAATTTTTTTCCTTCAAATTTAGTTAACCAAAAATCTCCTTGGTGTATCTCCTCATGTCCCTCTTCATGTTCTTCTATTTCTGGTTGTGGTGGCCAATTCACATTTTCTGAACTGTGACTACTGAGCTTTAGCTCCAGGACTCTATTATTTTATTATTAATGACAAAATTATGTCTTGACACAGTGACATCAAAAACACTCAAAATTTAGATACACTAAAAATAGTCGACTATTTATCAAGGTATCGTTATATTACACTTAAAAATGTAAAAAATTTAAGACAAAATAAATTTTAAACTAGAAAAACAAAATTATTTTTGAATAATGTAATTTTAATATTTAAAATCGACCAGTTTTTGGATATTCTTCAAAATCATTAATTAGAGAGTTCATTATCTCTATATTGCATATTGATGGATATCGCTCAATTAAAATTGAAGTATATATTTTTTAATACACAGAATGATGCTGTTTATTAATACCAACAAATTTAAAATTAAATCCTATTGTACCTGAAGTGGGTTAGACAAGCTGCACATTGTTGATACAGAATCGGTGTCACTGACTGTATTATCATCATCTGAAAGGACAGCACATACTTCAGGATCTTCTGGTAATTGAAGTTCTGCTCTAATGGATATTATGTTACTGCTTAAATGTTCTGAAGGTGTATGGCTGGACTACAAATAATAAAATAATGTTACTAATAACATGAAATTAATTGTGGTATACAAGCAATGCACATATCTAATCAGCAATAATGATATTTAAATATTTGTAGTATGAGTTTAACGTTTTTATTTTATAAAGGCCCTGATTTGTTTTATTTAATTGATTACGTTCTTGGATATCTAAAACAAATAAAATTATAAGTAATTATCTTGACTTAGTTAATGACAAATAAATAGCTATGTATTAGTAATAGCCATGTCAAAAATTAGAAATTAAATAATGTACAATTATTTGATATAAATATATTATTCCTTTTATTTAATTAAATAGTTTTAAAAAGGAACGAAAAATACAACTATTTACTTATATCAATAATAATTGCTTTGTTTTAAATCAATGGCATTCAATCTTTTTATAGTTTGCGACATACCAGGTACTAAAATCAAACCATTATTTGTTTTTCATTGATTATGGGTTTTCCAATAGTGTTTCCCATATTAACTATTGGGCAAATTGATAAAATTTGTTATTATTATTATACATGAAATGGTTATTATAATGAAACAAAATGTTTCAACTGAACTTTAAAATAAGTCACTATTATGAGAAATAAGGTTCTTCCGTTCACTATTGGTGCAGTGATAATCACACCACACCAGATCATTTATTTAGTTATTTATTTGCATCCAAACAGGCCAACAGCCTTATTACATGGATAAAAGTATCATAATACATAAATAACAATAAAATTAATAATACACAGTAGGTAATTACAACTAATACAACTTATTCAGTAAAGTAATAATCAAGAGTGATGTAATAATTAAATACAAGTTTTTGGAACATATTAAATGGTAGTGTCCAATCTACATCAATACAAATGTTAATATTATTTGCCAATCGGAGCATGGTCACAAGAGGTGACCTGGCAGGGGTAAGAACTAAAGGAATATTAAACATACATAGATGTCTCATCAGTTGTTTTGAGGTGTAATATAAACAAAGAAATCTTTTGCTTTTATCAGTATAAAAATAACCAAATTACTGTCATTTATCGATGGTTTGCTGCAAATTATTTGCATTCAAAATTTGATTTTTCTGTTTAGTTTCTTTATTTATAGGTTTATTTCAAACATGATTCAAACTTTTTACTCTTACACATTTGAAAAATTGAAACGTTATTTTTAAATTGTGCTTTGTTGTGTTTAAAAAAGGTTGGTTCTTGTTTGGAACATCATCTTTTAGAACAAACTTTATTTATGGTATTTAATTCAATTAGTATTCCTTATGCACATGTTGTTAAATAAATGGCGTAGAAAGGACATATGTAGTGGATTTTACACTTGGCTAAAGCAAAGGTATTTGGTCTGTTGGTGTAGTTTATTACTACACCAGTGAGAGGACCAAAAGAACTTATAGTGAGGGGAGGGAGTATCGCTCGCCTTACAGTTCGGTTGTCGTTCAGTCCGGTTGTCGATTTTATTAAAATTTAAGTGGTTAAACAGTAGTGTTTATATTAAATTTTATATCAGCGAAATCGTATAAGTGCACTGGTTTGAATACTACACTGCATTAAATTTACATAATTGTAATAAACTTTTGACTTTGGGATTTGTTTTGTTTATTAATGAATATAAATAAAAATGTTTTTGTCTCTTTATCAAACAACTGATAAGACTAAATAAAATAGATTAAAATGCCAGCCACAAGACAAAATCCAGTACCGTCCTGCAAAGACGGCTCTGGCAATATTATAGACATGTTGAAAGATATAAAAGCGAAATTATATGAGTGTTATGATGTTATCAAAGATCAAAATCAAAAAATTAGTGAATTGCAAGAAGAGGTTAAACAATTAAAACACCAGTCAATGGAAGTGAAATCTGATAATGTGCATAATAATAATTCATATGCCGAATCAGTTAAACAGCAAAATCATGTCTTGGTGGTTACATCAAATACTGGAAATGAAGCAAATGCAGTAAAGGATGATGTGAAAAGTAATATAGATCCAACGGACTTACAAATTGGTTTAAATATAGAGAAGAATACTAAGAGGAGGTATTGTCATAAAATGTTCAAATAAAGAAGCTCTTAAAACAGTCGAAGATAAACTAAAGACGAAAATGGGAAGTGATTATGATATCCAGGCACCAAAGAAAATATTACTAAGGTTAATTATAACAAGAATTGATCAAGAAGAAATGGATGAATTAGAGCAAAATGAGTTAATACCAAAGATTGTTTAGACAGAACCGAATACCACAGCTGCAAAGTTTTAAATTTGAAAAAATTTTCTCTACAAAAATACGAAAAGGCCGTTTCAATCTTATAGTAGAAGTAGATCCTGAAACTTAAAAATTTACTTAGCTGTTCTTTCCCGGAATTGTATATTGGATGGAGGATATGCAGAGTCTACAAATATTTCAACGTCAAAAGATGTTTTAAGTGTAGGGGTTTTAACCATGAAGCCAAAAATTGCAGAGAGAAGCTTTCATGTGTGTTATGTGCAGGTGATCATGGAAGCAATGATTGTAACAGCGATGTAAAGAAATGTGTAAATTGTGTACCTGCAAATCAACAACTAAATTTAAATTTAGATAGCAACCACCACGCCACCGATAGAAATTGTAAGTGTTATTTAAGAATTGTTCAATCCATTCAACGAAAAACTATTTATAATGAAAATGATTAGCAATTACAGCTCATTAAGAAAAATATTTTTATAGTATGTTTTAATGCTCAAAGTTATTATAGTCACAAAGATGAAATATTAAATTATGTTAACATTTATAGGCCAATGCTTTTAGGTTTAACTGAAATTCCGAATTGGCGATTGAGGGTTATAACTTAATGTGCTGTGATTCAAACAGTAGGCACACAAAAGGTGTTCTTGTATTTACAAGGAAATGTTTTAAAGTATTTAATGTTGAAACAGTTGTTATAAATATTAATTTTTGGCTTCTATCTCTAAATGTAAAAATTCATAATACAACATATTGTGTTGCGGTTGTGTATAGATCACCTAAGGGTAACTTGAGTATTTTTCTTAAAACATTTTTGAACTGGATGGATAATTATTATGAACAAAATAGTAGTTGTAGCGTAATCATTACAGGAGATTTTAATATCCACTATGATAAAAATTGCCAAGCGAAAAAAAGATTACAAGAATGTATTGAAAATAACGGCATGAGATAATTAGTAACTGAATATACTAGAATATTTAAAGATTCTAAATCGATCATCGATCTTGTCTCCACTAATGATTACACCATAACTGCTGATGTTGGTAAGGATTGCATCATTTCTGATCATTCTATCGTATACATTAAAAGAAGGGAAATGGAAGAAAAAAAGCATACTGAATTTAAAAAAACTAGAGGTAAATTAAATTACGATAAAATGGTCAATATGTTGATTGAAAAAGACTGGGGATATTCATTTACTAACGTAAATATTGTTAGTGATATATTTATGAATAACATATTATCTGTAATGAATGTTGTGTCTAAACCAAGTATTGTAAAGAAAACTAATAGTGTTAATCAATGGTTTGATAATAATTGTAGAAAAGCTATTTCGGTTAAGAATAGAGCTTACAAAAAATTTGTTTTCACGAATCAGGTAGAGGATTGGAATAACTATAAGGAAACCAGAAATTCATGGGTTAGAATTTTAAGGGAAGCTAAAATAAAATACTATGAGAAATCAATTGATGACAATAGAGGAAATCCGAAATTAATGTGGAAAAGTCTTAAGAAAATAGTAGGAACTAAACATACAGAAATAATATCAGAAACCTTACATTGTAATGGAATAATTTATAGTAATAATCTGCCAAATATTTTAAATCAGTATAATTGACCTATTGGTAAATATAGGAATAACTGGAATGTGATGACGTCCTGCTTGATTCAATTCCAATAAATGCTGTAATAATGACAAACTTTCAGATGATTAATATTCAACAACTTTATGAAATAATTAATTCCCAAAAGAAAAACAAAAATAGTACAGATGAAATTGGTATTGATTTAATTAGGCATCTTTATCACGTTTCTGGGTTATCCTTTATTAAATTTGATTAATTTAAGTTTGGAAAAAGGAACTGTTCCTCAATGTTTTAAAACATCCACCATAGTTCCTATTCCTAAGGTGATAAATACAAATAGAGTTGATCAACTGAGACCTATATATATGTTGCCATTCTGTGAAAAGGTACTTGAACTGGTTGTGTATAAACAAATTGTGAAGTTTTTAAATGATAATGATACATTATGCAGTTATCAATCAGGTTTCAGAAACTCGCATTCTTGTGAAATGGCTCTGCAGTTGGTTGTGTCTGACATGAAAAAAATATTAAATAAACCAGGAATTGGCATTTGCGCAGTTTTTATAGACCTTCGAAGAGCTTTTGAAACTATAGATCGCAGAATTCTTTTATTAAAATTAAAAAGGTATGGGTTTAATGGTTCTGTATATGATTGGTTAGAAAATTATCTATCAAATAGATTTCAAAAACAAATTAATAATAATACATCAGATTTATTATTAAATGATGTAGGCGTTCCCCAGGGCAGTGTCTTGGGTCCTTTACTCTTTATAATATATATAAATGATTTGGGATCTGTACTAAACAAATGTAAAATTCATCTATTTGCTGATGATACATTAATTTATTGGAACAATAATTCAAACTTTAAACTCGGAATTAAAATTATTAACAGAGAAATTTAAAATTAATAAATTAAAAGTAAATGAAATAAAGTCGAAGTCTATGTTTATTGGGAATAATTTTCTGTATAATAAGTATTTAGGTTTAAATTTAAATGTAGTCATAAATGATGAAGTTATTGAGAATGTTGAAGAAATAAAATACTTAGGGTTAATACTAGACAGAGAATTGAAATTTAATAAGCACAATGGTTATATGTCTAAAAAAATTGGTAAGAAAATTGGTTTTATGAAAAGGGTATCACTGTTTTTATCTATATCGACTAGACAAACCATCTATAATACACTTATATTACCTCTTTTCTATTACTGTAGTACTATTATTTATACAGGATGTTCTAGTTTTGATAGGTTACAAATCCTTCAGAATAAGGCAATGCGGGCAATTTTGGGATGTAATAGTTTTACTAGTTCACACTTAATGTTGGAAGCTTTAAATTGGATAAAAATTGAACATCTACTTTATATTCAGATGATGATATTTATATATAAAATTGTTAACATGTTACCTAAATACTTAAACTGTCAGCTTGTACCAGTTGCAAATATCCACGGGCGTAACACTAGAACGACAAATTCTATAAATTTTTATGTGAATTCAAGTAACAAAACCAGCTCCATGAAAAGTTTGTTTCATAAGGGATAGTTCAGTTTAATATTCTGCCTGATGACGTTAAAGCAAGTTCAAGTGTAAAGGTGTTCAAAAAAAAAGATGAAGAATCATGTCAAGTTTATATAAACACAATTCGTTTTTTATGTTATTTCTTGTTTGTTTCGAAACAATAATATTTTATTTGATATTCAAAAACCCACTGATTTTTCCTAACGAATTTTTTTTTATTCACGTTTGGTTTTTAAAGTGCTAAATCTACTTTCTAACCTCATAATGTACCTAAGTTACTTTATGTACTTATTATCTTTTGATAAATAAACATTATTCTATTCTAGAAGTAGATAAACCAGACAATTAAAAGGTTTCTTTAAATAAATTTGTTAGACATACCTCAAGAAATTTTACAAACTCTTTTGATGTAAACAGCTGATAATGCCCTCCTAGGAAGTCTAAGAAGTTTAAAATACTTTGTTTACGTTCTTGGATAGTTTCCTCATCAAAACTAAAAATGAATACTCAATTTTATTTATTGTTGTATTATAAAAATAGAGAAATATATTGTAGTAATTTTATTATTTATTTAGCCTACCGTTTTAATAATGTTTTAGCTGGTAAATTAGGAAAGTCTTTGCTTTTAGTAATCTTTTTATAAAGACTTTTCAGCTCTCTATGAAGTCTTCTAAAATCGTTGTATCTCTTCCAAACCGTCACTTTTGTAACAGCATCGGGACATGACTCTGGATATAACTATAAACAGTATTAGATTTGTTATTACAAAAATACAATAAATTTGAACTCCTTACCATAGAAACTACTTTGTAAATTGTAAAACCGCTTTTATGCTTTCTAATATCCGGTATATCAAAAATTCTAATCCATTTATCATGTACAGAAACCATTATTTATAAATTCATGAATCAAAATGTTTATAAAGAAAATTTAAAACATTAAACGTCAAATTCACCTCCCATCTCATACAGCTGATTTTGACGTTTGCCGGTGCTTACCAACATACCAACGTGATTTTCCTAAACATTCTCAAATATGTTGAGTTGTTCTAGATGCGCTAAAAACAGGAACAGTTCCAAAATTGAAAGAGGACTTCTTTTCCTCACTAAACACACCGACCTTAGGCATTTCTTTATAAGCTTACTACAACATACTGGTTACAGTATTGTGGTTACTGTGGTGACATTACGCATACCATGGTTTCAAAGATGGTTTCCCTATTATTGAATGTCATATGTCAAATTTAATTTAAGTTTGGGGATTTCTAAACGGAATTTGAATTTTAGAAATTTTATGCTGCGTTTGAGAATCCACATCGGATGCATCTGAGATGTAAAAAATCTTTGATCACGTGATTCAGTATACGTAAATGTAATGGGACAGATGTGTCCGATGTGAATAAAAAAACGCTCGAGATGTAAAAAATGCATCCGATGTGGATTCTCAAACGCAGCATTAGTATGTTTTGATTTTGTTATTTTTTATTATAGTATGTTCTAGTAAGCTTATAAATAAATGCCTCGTTAGATGTAGCTACATGTGCTTTGGTAACATGTAACCAAAGCAGAGTAACCAAACGTTATAAAGAAATGCTCTGGTTTTACAGAAGTATGTTCTGGTAAGCTTATGAAGAAATGCCTCCTTGTTATTAAACTGGATGGCTAATGATAATCCTTCCTCCATGGGCTAATGTCATAAACCCTACTCCTAATTTCTAAGCAGACATCGGTGAAAAAAAACTGTCAATTTCGTGGATTCTACGTAACGTTTTTCACGGGCGTACTATGATATACGGAACACTTGTTTCAGCTGTGTATTAATCAAAAATCATTTTTAAATTATTTTCTTAAATTAAAAGATGTAGTTGAATGTAATAAGTGTTTAATTTTGATGATCCTTTTTAGTGCATTTTGATACGCACATGTGGGCGTCGAAGTGTCAAATATCACCTCCTTAGATAAAAGAAATCACCTCGCTAGGCAGCTTGATTTTGTTGATCGGCTTTGTTCTTCCAGTTTAATATATAGTTCAGTGAAACATTTGAAAATATACATTTTAGAAATTTTGAGCCATCCAGATAGAATGAAAGATACGACATAATCCGGTATTGAAATGGCAACCCTGTGATCCCGTTGGCATTGACAGGATCAATTGCATATAATCATATAGATTGCTCAAAGCGAGTTGTGGTGACATTGCGGTGTCTTTGCAGGTTCGTTTTAGCCATTGCATGTACTTGTTCAGATCAGAAGAAATTAATATTTCTGAAACTAAACAAAAAAAAATCCAATTTATTCGTCCGTTAAATTCCTAAAGGTATCCTTACCACTTAGGTAAGTAATAAATTTAAATGTTTACCATATACAGGGAATGTCAAAAAATAGGAATACGAGTTATTTATTTTTAAAAATATGGAAAAATGTATATGGAATCTGTCACCTAGCTAAAAAAAAACTGGTATGTAATAAGATTTTATTTCTTTCTCTACAAATAAACAAACGTTTAAATATTAATTTGTAATGGATAAAACAATACAAAACTTATACCTATGAAGACTAGAGATAAGGAGGCGAATCGGCATGCTCAAAATACGGTCCCAAAAATCACACGTCAATTGAGCTTTTATAATTAACCGCATGGGCCGCACGGTTTACGTAGTTCAAAATACATGGCTTCTTATGAGAATTATACATAATTTTGTCAAAATAATAAAAATAAACTTGTTTATAGCTAAATAAAGCACAGAACATACTGTTTATTTATTTCTATGACAAGTGTTGAAATTTGATGGGTAGGGCTAATTATTTTTTAATTAAAGCTAAATAGGGCTGAGGGCATACTAAGACACGGTTTAAATGAAAATATTTAGTTAGGGATTTTACAAAATTTTATGAAAATAATAAAAATCAAATTGTTTATTGCTAAGTACAGAAAATACTGTTGTTATTAATTATAAATGAGTCTTTATGTTAAACATTATTTACTATTCATTATTTAATTTTATCTAAATAAAATGAAAATGTATGACCAAGAGTGAGATTACAGCAAGTCTCCCAGCTAGCACAAAAACATCCCATCTACGTTAATAAGCTGCAATTTTAGGCTCTTTAAGCTCGCATGCAATGTACTGTAAATGTAACCCTTATATCCCTGCAACTACCGAATGTCCGCAGCGGCAAGACTTTTATAGCACATCTCACAGAAGTTACAAAGTGAAGTTCGAAAAACATCACACTAGCACTTTTACGGTACTTACCCCGAAAGTTGCTCTGAAACGTTCTATTGATGTTATAATGTGAATTAGATTTACAGCATTATACAGTGTGTCCACGGATGGGCTTAACTATACTTGTGAAAATATTTATTTTAAATTAAAAAAGTAATTCTTCATAATTTCTTGCTTGTTAAATAAATTCGATTCACATTGAGAAATTATGAAAAACAACTTTTTCTTTAATTTAAAATAAATATTTTTACAAGTATAATTAAGTCCATCCGTGGACACACATTGTGTAATGTAATACAGAGAGGCTGAAATTGAGGCTATAGTAAAATCTCAATCGAGACATGAAAATTTCAAATAAAACAAAATATTTATATAAATTTATTATTAAAATGTTCTTGAAATCAAGTACCAATAGCACAAAAGTAGAGGTAGGTGTAGGCGTGTTCTTTTATTCAGTGCTGTATCCAGCGCTTGCAGCAAACCGTTCGTAAATTAAGTGATGGAAAGACGATTGTATGTGTCAATCATTCTTTTTTCCAGCGGTGAATTCACCAATGAGCCAAGGCATCCATCGGCTTTAAAAGCCGATGGATATGTGATAGACGAATGGTGAGGATAATCAATCATTTAAGTTAACCTAAAATATAAGAGTTCAAATATAAAATGACTGCAGAATAGATAAATTACATCAATCACTGATGGAACAATTATTGAATAAAAGAACACACCTTATATCACAAAAACAAGTACACATGTGGGATAGAAGAAGCTACCTAGAAAGCACTGAACGATTGGACAAAATTAGCTAAATAGTATAATAAGGTACCAATATTGCAAAGGTTCACTAAAACCTTAAATGGTGAACGATGATAAAGCTAGATTGGTGAAAAATAATAAACGAATACAACAATGACTAGGTACATATTATTATATTAGATTACTAGAGGATAGCTAAGTTCGCTGATTTCTTACCTAAGACGCAGAGATATATCTTTTTTAAATCAAGCCTTTTAACTTTTTTTGCATAGATATTTATAAAGTGCTATAATGTAACCTAAATATGACAATTTATTAGAAGAGCATAAATTATATTTTTATATAAAAAGATTTTACTTCTCAATACATTGAATAAAAAAGAAATTGATAACTTGTTTACCTATTATTAATTAAAGGAAATTATATAGAAATTAAAAAATATGCCTTACTTTGTTGTTTTAAATAAAACAACTAATGTTAGTGTATTGAAATTTGTTTGAATTTTACAAATTTTATGCTTGATTTCCAAAGTAGATATATTGATGGCTCAATCAAAAACCGCCACAAGTCAAAAAACAAAGCAATTACATTTTTGGTTCAATGGATGCAAAATATCATTACGGTTTTACTTTAAATACCACCACAAACAAAAATATCCTTAAAGATAAATCATTTAAAATGTAGCCACAAACTGTGTCTAAAACTGCATCAATTCGAGTTATTTTCTTCAAAAACACCCAAATTTTTTACAACTATGCAACAACTCACTTTTATAATGGTAATCATTTTATTTAACAGCAAAATATCGAAGCTTTTAAATAAAATATAAAGAGTATGTCAAAAACAAAATAATGATAATAGAGACTTACAAATTTCTCGAAATAATAGTATTTTAGTTGTGGCAGTATTTGATTGAGCCATCAATATGTAGATTTTATAAAAAACAACTGGTGTTTTTTAGCAAGATATTCTATTATACTCGAGAGTATCATCTATGATTTCTCTCAACTTTTCTGCTGGGTTTTCACTTGAAATGATATGGTTGCATTTCCAGGCAATCTAGCTTGTTGAAGAGAATGAACTGCTTGAATTCTGATATACCTGACATATCATGTACCTATAGATTCACTTTTTATAAAACTTCAGGAGTTATATTCTTCTTTACACTTCTGTAGTATTTACTTTTGCTTCTAAAATTCCTAGAATGTCGAAGGAAACCTAAAAAATATTTTTAAAATGTATTTTTAGTTCGATAAAGTATAATTACCTTTTATAAGTATTTGGTGTAAAATGTTGCCGGACATTCGGTTAAATGTTTATCTTCTGGTTTACAACGATTGATCTGCAATTTTTTGTTTTTATTGTAGTTTTTTTTTAATGGGTGTCATCAGCATCGACTGCTAAAGATACTTAATGAATGAAATAATAAATTTACATCAGGCATTGTAATCTGAAACAAAGACAATGGTTTAGAAAATAGTTATCTATTTTATAGAGGACCCTTACCAAATCTATTCGAATGTATAAATAATAATTATTTAGAAAAAAAATTCTGGATGTCGAAAAATAAACCATTAAAAAAGACAATTGACAAGAAAAACTGACAAGTGACAATTGACATAAAACTAAACGTTCTGAATTCAGATTTGTAATGTTTACGGTAGGTTAACTAGGTAAATAACAAATAGAAGTTTTGCGAGGTTTTGATTTCCCTCAACAACTTCTCATGAACGTTGCATTTACGTTGTACAGTAATGTTATTACGTTCCCTTAATGCAACATCGCCGAAAGGCTTGGCAACGTTATGTGCTAGCTGGGCTGCAACTTTGCAGGTCTGCAAATATGGCGGCAACTTTGCAGATTATTAGAGTTTTTAAACATAGCAATGGATTTGGGTTTAGTGTTGTTTGGGGTAATAAACCACAATAAATATTGCGAATTTGTAGATATTTTTTGGAATACGAAAACTTATTGATACTTGCATCTGTAAGTCCGCCATATTTGCAGATCTGCAAAGTTGCAGACGTTCTGTAATTTCACCCCAAATTTTAAAAGGTTTGTTAAATGGTGAAATTTGGTAAGTACAGTTTTGTGGTAATTTTGTATTCGACAACTACAATTTCATCATCCTGGTGAATAGTTTCTTCAGCAATAATAGGTTCTAGTTTTTTATTCTAACAAATTCAGTTCGGTTCAATGGTTTTCTTTTTTTGCTAATACTGGACAAGTATGAAGGAATATTCGGGAATATACATGGTGTTGATTCGTTCTTTAATATCTGCC